ATTGGCAGTATCCTTCTTACGAGGTCCGGAAAGCTTCCATAAGGATCTTCTTTTAATCTGACATGGCGCCGTTACACAGTGACGACATAGAAGGACCTGGTGACATATATCGTATATGTCGTTCGAGATATCATCGAAATACAGGGGTTCTGCCTTTGTTTAACCGATCTCTTGACGAATTCGAAAACAACTATTAAGTGTCTGATTGCTTGGTGATATTAGTCAATTACTATGACTGATAAACATTCACACACGTACTCTACACTGAGACGAAATGTAATAAACATTTAAATGCATTTCAGGAATTTGCACAAGTTTCATTATCAGATAAAATACTTACCTTTCGCAAGCAAGAGTTACTTTTACAGTTCTGTGTAGTAGATTTGAAATATACTTACAGTTGATAGGTAGAATGCTTTATTTCTTACATTAAAATATTTCTTCTTTAACCTTATGTGATATCAGAATATAGATTTATTTGGTTAAGTGAACAGATTAAAGACTACGATACGTAAAACGATGATAAGTCATTGCGAGGTATTACACAGAACAGATAATTGTACAGAAAAAAGACTCGGTAGAGACAATGTGAAATGATAAATGCTAAATACCATTTCTCCATTTCTGGAACATGGTAACCACGGCTGAACAGCGCTATTAGGTGATGTTTTCGACAAGAGGCGTATAGCTCAGGATCAGGGTTAAAAGCACGCTCAGTGTGAAATAGGTTCGAGGTCTAGTGGGATAAATGAGGACTTCCATGTGAAATAGGTTCTAGGTCTAGTGGGATAAATCAGGACTTCCATGTGAAATAGGTTCTAGGTCTAGTGGGATAAATCAGGACTTCCATGTGAAATAGGTTCTAGGTCTAGTGGGATAAATCAGGACTTCCATGTGAAATAGGTTCTAGGTCTAGTAGGATAAATCAGGACTTCCATGTGAAATAAGTTCTAGGTCTAGTGGAATAAATCAGGACTTCCATGTGAAATAGGTTCTAGGTCGATATAAATCAGGACTTCCATGTGAAATAGGTTCTAGGTCTAGTGGGATAAATGAGGACTTCCATGTGAAATAGGTTCTAGGTCTAGTGGGATAAATGAGGACTTCCATGTGAAATAGGTTCTAGGTCTAATGGGATAAATGAGGACTTCCATGTGAATTAGGTTCTAGGTGTAGTGGGATAATTCTGGACTTCCATGTGAAATAGGTCCCGGGTCTAGTGGGATAAATCAGGACTTCCATGTGAATAAGTTCTAGGTCGAGAGAAATCAGGACTTCCATGTGAAATAGGTTCTAGGTCTAATGGGATAAATGAGGACTTCCATGTGAAATAGGTTCTAGGTATAGTGGGATAAATCAGGACTTCCATGTGGGATAAATCAGGACTTCCATGTGAAATAAGTTCCAGGTCTAGTTGGATAAATGAGGACTTCCATGTGAAATAAGTTCCAGGTCTAGTGGGATAAATGAGGACTTCCATGTGAAATAGGTTCTAGGTCTAGTGGGATAAATGAGGACTTCCATGTGAAATAAGTTCCAGGTCTAGTTGGATAAATCAGGACTTCCATGTGAAATAGGTTCTAGGTCTAGTGGGATAAATGAGGACTTCCATGTGAAATAGGCTCTAGGTCTAGTGGGATAAATCAGGACTTCCATGTGAAATAGGTTCTAGGTCTAGTGGGATAAATGAGGACTTCCATGTGAAATAGGTTCTAGGTCTAGTGGGATAAATCAGGACTTCCATGTGAAATAAGTTCCAGGTCTAGTTGGATAAATGAGGACTTCCAAGTGAAATAGGTTCTAGGTCTAGTGGGATAAATGAGGACTTCCATGTGAAATAGGTTCTAGGTCTAGTGGGATAAATCAGGACTTCCATGTGAAATAAGTTCCAGGTCTAGTTGGATAAATCAGGACTTCCATGTGAAATAGGTTCTAGGTCTAGTGGGATAAATCAGGACTTCCATGTGAAATAGGTTCAAGGTCTAGTGGGATAAATGAGGACTTCCATGTGAAATAAGTTCCAGGTCTAGTGGGATAAATGAGGACTTCCATGTGAAATAGGTTCTAGGTCTAGTGGGATAAATGAGGACTTCCATGTGAAGTAAGTTCCAGGTCTAGTTGGATAAATCAGGACTTCCATGTGAAATAGGTTCTAGGTCTAGTGGGATAAATGAGGACTTCCATGTGAAATAGGCTCTAGGTCTAGTGGGATAAATGAGGACTTCCATGTGAAATAGGTTCTAGGTCTAGTGGGATAAATGAGGACTTCCATGTGAAATAGGTTCTAGGTCTAGTGGGATAAATCAGGACTTCCATGTGAAATAGGTTCTAGGTATAGTGGGATAAATCAGGACTTCCATGTGAAATAGGCTCTAGGTCTAGTGGGATAAATGAGGACTTCCATGTGAAATAAGTTCCAGGTCTAGTGGGATAAATGCGGACTTCCATGTGAAATAAGTTCCAGGTCTAGTTTGATAAATCAGGACTTTCATGTGAAATAGGTTCTAGGTATAGTGGGATAAATGAGGACTTCCATGTGAAATAAGTTCCAGGTCTAGTTGGATAAATCAGGACTTCCATGTGAAATAAGTTCTAGGTCTAGTGGGATAAATGAGGACTTCCATATGAAATAGGTTCTAGGTCTAGTGGGTTCAAATTATTTAATTCACGGTACTATTTTATTCTATGATTTACGTGCTTATTACAGTTAAAGAAGAATTGGTAAGCGTTTTAGCATGATGTTCTCAATGACATAGTTTAAAATCAATTAAATTCGAACGAAATAATTATCTTTTAGAATACATGATCTACGTCTTAATCTGGCATGCAAAACATTAGCTTTCCTATCACCAATCCAATGATAAGCCGATACTTCATTTAGCTTACGAAGAGACGTTTAAAGTGTTGTTTTATGTCAGGATCTATTTGGCTGTTTTGATTTCATTTAAATTAGTACATTTGAAAATCTCAATTTCTGTGCCTTCTGATGTTTTAAATGTTTAACTGGTTTTCTGTTTTCCTATGAAAGAAGATTGTATTTACGAAAATGTCTATTTTTTATTTCAAACATTCTAATGTCGTTGAATGGATTAATATTGAAGTGAAAGCATGTCTGGGTTTTCCCTGTGTGTATACTGACGTACACTTGTTCTAACCCGTAAAACCGGAGATAGTCCGAGATCTCATGTCATTTTGTAGTCTTTGCCGTGCATGTTTCTTTAATCAAGAATGTTGACATTTGTATTGAGTTTCCTTTATGATTTTTGTCAGCTATAATGCTCTGTATTATCATAAAATTAAAAGCGTTAGATTTAGTTGCACGTGTCGATGCGGCTTCCAGGGTACTTGAAAGTTTGTTTTCATTTTTGTTTGTTTGTGTTTCTTTTTCAAATGCATGCATGTGTTTTCTCAGCTCAGTAAGGCCTTTTATTATTAATTTAAAGATGACGCTCTCTCTATTTCTTTCGTCGCTAATCTTTTTCTGTTCGGACGTCCGTCTGCTTGTGTGTTTTACATGTTTCTCTCTTTGCACACTGTCCGTTGTGAGTCTCTCAGTCCATCTCTTTCTCCGATTTATTGTCTTTCTCTCTGTCCGGACGTCTTTTTTGTATCTCTCTGTTAAGTTGTCTCTCTTTTTGGATGTCAGTCAGCCTGAGCGTATGCTTCTTTCTGTCCTGATGTCGGTATACTGATATGTTTGTAGGTATATTTGTGTGTGTTTCTGTCCGATAGCGTGTTTTGTCTGTCGTTATACATTGTGTTTGTCCATCTTTGTCTTTCAGATTCAGATATACATACGCTCAAGGCATCGGCGATAGCATGTGATGGCGGCGACAATTTTGTTAAACCCCTAATTGATGTAAAAATACGACTGCAATCATCACCAAACCAAACCTGCTTAATGGTTATTATAGGCAAGAGTGTCTAAGTATATGTTTTGACGAAGATTATAGTTACAGTCGACAAATAATTTAAGTTTGCTAATTAATTGTGTTAAAGAGGTCCACATTGAGCTTGAATTCTCTGCAAACTATCATAGCGAAACATTGAAAAACTTATATCTATATAATCACTATCCAAACACATAACTTAGACTAAAAAAATAAAGTTTACTATTAATTGCACTTTGTTAGTTTATGAGGATATATGTTTAAGATGCCCGTTTAGCTTAAATTAAGTTTTATTAGATTTTCTCTCGAGGTATTTAAGCTGACGTACACAAACTTGACACACATTTCAAATTCTGAATGTCACCTTTACAGTTTAATGTTAACTGAACTAATTTGCAAGTTAAAGATTTTTTTCCAGCTTTTTGTTGATATTTATTTCTCTCAAAGCACATAAGCTTCATCTACAGTTTACCGTTAATTAGATTCAGTAATTAATTATCTATGTTAAATTCATCCGTTTAGTTCTACATGTAACAAAATTTCTCTCTATGTACATATTTGCCTAAAATCTTATGATTTTGAGAAGCGGAGACAAGCGAGTAATTCTTGTTATACAATCATAAACACTTTTCCCTCTGAACTATTGTATAAATATTTTCAAATTTTAGCAGGGCCGTTAGCTACTGTAGTATATGGCTTTCAGCTTTGATTTTGTGCATATATTTGCATCACATTGCAGTCGATTTTGTGTCACACCAAATGACGAACTGGCTGTTCCTCCTCTCGGTATCTTTATAATCAAGTCGTAAAGCACTACTAATCACCTTCATGCTGAATATTTGGTATAATATTTCAAATTACTGTACACATATTTGTCAGACTACTTTGTTCACAACGCGATTTGTTCTGTTCCTTTTCGTGTCATGCTTTATTTTCGTCCTTAAGCAATGAATTCTCGTGTTTAGATCTTTTGTATTACCGTTTACCGTTAAGCTGTGCTACACATGTATACACTCGGTATAACTGAACGACCCACAATACCAGTAGCCGACTGGTGAATATATATCGACACTACATTTCATACACAACATTGATCACCGGTCACTAAACATGAGTGGAAGTAAGCGTGTTGCAGTGGTGAGTGTTTTTGATTTTCTTCATTTCATACAATGCACTTATCTGGTAATATTTTACCAATAGAAACTGTGGGTGACAAAGCAAATGTTATACAGTATGATAAATATATCATCTAAGAACATGGCGAAATGAACCGTCCTATATATTGTACATACAGGTATATTGATGTACACGTGTTGACCTTACAAAATATACTCACAGGCTTTATCTAATCTAGTGTAGTTACATTGCATACAATTATTCTTATTTTTTCTCACACTAATTTCATATCATATAACGTTATAAATTCATAATTCCATTTTCACCCACAGGTGACGGGGTCCAACAAGGGCATAGGATATGCCATAGTGAGAGGCTTGTGTAAGCAGTTTGACGGGGATGTTTACCTTACAGGTGAGAAACCAGGTCGTCAGTCTTACTTCACGAAAAGCTTCAAAGGCAGCAGGATAGCTTTGTATGTGGTTTTCATAGTGCATAATTCTTGCTGTATTTTCGATAATACTACTGCATAACTTATGTAACGACAGTTAAAATGCAATGAATGTTAATACAGACCAGTATTCACTTCAGTATCGGTACTTAATCAGCAATTTGAGATCCCACAACACTTTTTATATGATAATCTAAACTTTACAGTCTATATTAAAAAAAATGTGAAAATGCATATATTACATTTCATTTGCGACCTCAAATCTGAATAGCAACTAAGTTTTTAAATGCTAAAGATAGAATAGTTAAAAATGAAATAATATTTGACAATTCTTTAAGAATTTCTGTTTTAATGATAATTTACGGGAAATTTTACACGGTAAAATAGACGATGATGCTTTGCTATATCTCGTGTAGTCTAAACAACAAAATCCATTTATCCAAGATCAACAAACAAACTGATCACATTATCTAATGTTAGATTAAAAAACTCGAGGGAATAGATACAACCAAACAACTACAATGTACCCCAATGTAGGCAAACAATCTTCAGAAAGTCACACTGATCTTATCACTACAACTTGAGGTTTTTTAATGTAAAACCAATTTTCATGATGTAATACTTACCATAACTTTAGTATGCAAATACAGTACCTACACCCATCTTTGTATCCCAACAACAAAAGATTCAAAAGAAAAACAATCCCGCCCTCCCTACGATCCATGAGCCATCACGGCAGGAACGCAGAGTGATCTCCCTTCCTCTAATAACCTTTATGGCGTAAACCCCACAGAGGGGCAGCCAGGCAGATAAGGAAGAGGGGAGGATAGGGTGGGACTCCATAAAGTTATGGTAAGTATTACATCATGAAAATTGGTTTTACATTAAAAAGCCTCAATTTCATTTCAGTAATAATTACCATAACTTTAGTATGCGAATTCGTCTTACCGTAGTGGTGACTAGAAGCCAGGCAGCCCCTTCAGCACAACCAAAGTAGTAGGGAGGGAGAACAGAGTGCTAAAGTGAAGGAAGGGACCTCTCTGTGAAAGAGCAGGTGTACCCACATGCCGCCGTACGGAAAGACATGGCCCGGGGCTAACGAGGAGGCCCAGCCACTGACTATGCCACCACCAAAGGTCCCAATGAATACAGGCCTTCTGAGTGGGAAGCTAGGGATCACAGATAAAAATCTGTTAAGGTATCCCTGCCCTGCCAGAATACTGCAGACATGACCTCCTGAAAGGAGGACTCATTGAGAGAAGGGCCCAGGATGAAGCAAGGGCCCTGACCTCGTGAGACCGTGCTTTCACTCTCGCCCGAGCCAGATCATCAAAATGCTCGTAAGCATACTAAATCACCTGGCAAACCCACCTGGAAACCGACTGGGAGGAGATATCTCGTTGCCCCTGTTTAATGGGCAAAACAGACGGGATCGAGAGTCCCGCCCCCCTGGTTTTATCAAGATAAAACCTAAGAGTCCGACAAGGACAAAGCAACCTATCTCGCTCCTCCGAGCTAGTCACAGCCAGGATCCTGATGGGATCGTGCGAGAACCCCGGAACCTGATTCTTCGCTAAAAACAACTCTATTCATAGCAAAGCCTCTGATTAGGGCAGAAAGAGAGGAGGACTAACCGATCTCCTTCCTGCCATGACAAGCAAGAACTCTGGCAATAGCTGTACGATAGCCAGCAATAGTGCCAGGTGGCAGATAGCGGTACCTAAACAGAGAGATTAGGAACTCCGCAATCAAATGCAGAGGCTTCGAATGAATAAGCTTCCTTGCCGACACACCAATCACAGAAGATCATCCAACGTGACTGGTAGACGGCAGAAGAGGAAGCCCTGATTGATTGCTCAATGCAATCTGACACCTCTTGAGAAAAGCCTGCCTTGGCGTGGCTTCCAGAGATAGCCTCAGCGCGTGAAGGTGGAGGATCTCTGGTCAAGAGTGTGTCGTTCTGGGCCAAGGCTGGCGAAGGAGATTCGGCCTGGTGGGGAGAGCCAAGGGCTCCTCCACCAGAAACGACAAGAGCTCCTGAAACCAAGCTTGCCTCGGCCACAGAGGGGCTCTCAGAAGTAAGGAGCAGTGATGCTCCCAGAACTTCTGTAGAACCCTGCCCACAAGGTTGAAGGGAGGGAATGCATATGCATACGTCCCTTCCTATTCCAGAGAAAGGGCGTCCACAGCCCACGCCTTACGGTCTGGGACCGGGGAGACGAAGGTTAGCAGCTGGTTATTCAGGGAAGTGGCAAACAGGTCTATAATAGGTCTGTCCCACGCCTGACAATTCCCCTTGAAAATCAAGGGACACAGCTGCCATTCCGTCAACACCGGCTGGTGGCGCCTGGAGAATGGCCACCAACACACTCAGCCTGCCAGAAGACCGCTATGGTCAACTGCATGTCCTGGCAGAGAAGAAGGATGTGGATGGAGAGGGCACACAGGACATGAGACCTGGTGGCCCCTTTCTCTCCAGATACGCGACAACTGTTGTCGGTAGCCACACTTTGGACTGCAGGATACCCCTAAAGGACTGCAGAGCCAAATGAACAGTCTCATCTCGAGTACACTGATGTGCTCCGAGAGTTGTTCGCCAGACCACTCCCCCAAGCGGCATTGGCCATCGAGGTAAGCTCACATTCCTGTCATGAACGCGTCCATGAACAGGATCATAGAGGGGATAGGCTTGGTCAGAGGTACCCCGTGGAAAACGTTCTCCTGAATGGTCCACCAGCAAGAGAACTCCCTGACCGACTGGGTAAGCGGGATCCAGGCCTCCTGGATGACGGAACCCAGTCAGACAGGAGGAACATCTGGAGAGGTCCGATGTGAATCCTCCCTAGGGGGACCACATATGCCAAGGAGTTGAGATACCCCAGAAAACTGAGGAACCAATGTACCTGGACAAGCGACCAAGTGATGAAAGTCAGAGCCAGAGCCCTGACCTTCTCAAACTTCTCCAGAGGTGGAAGGGCTAAGCCCCGAACCATGTCAAAATGGTTCCCCAGGAAGAAGAAGTCCTAATATGAAGGAACCTCTGACTTCTCTCTGGAAGGAATGAAGCCGACTCTGAGCAAGAGTTTCAGGACCAGACGAGTGTCCTTCACTAACGATTCCCACACCAAAAGAGGCATGAGGGAGTCGTCGAAATAGATGTGGACGTCTATTCTGCGTGAGTGAAGGAAACACCAGAAGCAACTTGGTGAACACCAAAGGAGCTGTCGTGAGCCCCAAGGGCATATCTGCCTTGGCAGCATGGTCCCTACTTCCTCCTGGAGCACCCGTGCCCTTTCTGAATCCCCGGGAGGAGGAAAGAAACAAAAACGGCCAGGAGGCGAGGGACGAATCCTGAAGAAGGGGAATACCTAGACCCTCCCTGACCACCGACAAAAGCCCAAGCGTCCTCTGTAATATCCTGCCACTGAGAAAGGAAAACAGAGAGATGTCCGCCCACAGGGAGTTCCGGATGGGGCAGATCGAGCCCCTGCCAGACCAGAGAATCGTCTGCCCACCCGGAGCCTGAGCCTGCGGGAGAAGGACATGAGCCCGGGAAAGGAGAACCACCGTCCACCCGGCCATACCCTTCGCCTTTCGCGGCCAAGAAGCAGAAATAGTCAGGAACCCTTCTTCTTGCCCCCAGGAGGTTTCTTACCCTTCCTACCCTTCCCCTTGTTGCCGTTGAAGTGAGGTTGGGACTTGGGCTGTGCAGAAAACTGAGCAGCCGAAGACTTCGCCTTCTTCTTAGGAGGCACTGACCCCTGCGAGGCACTGGCCTTCTCAGCCTGAAACCTCTTCACCAGAAGTGCTGAGGCGACCGAGTCCTCCTTCATATCCTTCTGAACCCAAGGAAGAGCTCCCTTGAACAGGGTAGAGCCCTAGAAGGGGGCATTCAACAAGCGGAAACGGTAGGGTTACTGGACTGGGCGGAATTTCAGAACTGAAAACTGCCTAGCCAACACGGCATTGACGAGCAGAGAACCTGCAAGGCTGCCGTGTCCTGTATGTCGGCTGTTCTGTCTCGGATAACCGACACTCAGGCAAATCGGATACCCTGTATAGACAAACTGTCAGGAAGTCTATGTATGACAGAACTTGGATGGAGAGGTGTAACATTCTCTCCATCCTGTGGTGCTCTTTGGGATCGAGCACCACCTGGTCCACTGATTTGCCGGGCCAGGCAGCCAGCTGTTTCAACTCCAGCTGTGCTGGTTGAGAGGCCAGCTGCCCATCATGTGTGGCATAGTCGGAAGCTGAAGCCTCCGACAATTCACCAACACTGAGCTGCAGACCGACAAACCCGGGAGCACGGGTAGAGAAGGAGTCCTTCTCTAAAACCGGAGCCCGGGCCGTGGCCAGAACCGAAGACATGATATTGCCTTCTGGCAGAGACCGATCTGAGCGAACGGAAGCCCGAGGAGCCACCAGGGAACCCAGAAGGATGGTGGATTCAGGCGCCGACGATGCTGAGGCGGTGGGCAAACCTCCGCCCTGAGAATCCGGGAGATGTTGGCCCGGAGGACCCGCATCCCAGAAAGCACATGCTGAGCCTCGGCTTCAGCAGTCTCAGGGCCATCTTCCCCTTGTGAACCCTCTTGGCCCAGGAGAAAGATGAATGACATCGTCTTCCTCTGCCGAGCCCGCACCCTCGATGTCCATCTCTTCCTCAATAGAGACCGAAGTCCCCTTGGGAGGAACAGGGGCCGCCAGAGGAGCCATCTCCGCAGAGGGGAACTCCTCTTTATGGCATTTGGACGCAGCGCGACCAACAGCTGTAGCTGTAGGCTTGGGTCGGAGACCCGAAGCCGACCCCTGGGAACAGGAGACCGACGGGTCCGCGCTGGAGGCGGAAGTCCTTAAGGTCTGGCAAACCTTTATAGGACCGGCCAACAAGGCCCCCGAAGTAGCAGAACATTGGGGGGATTCCGCACTGCTATAACATCTCCTAGAGGAGAGACCAACCCCTATGGGTTCCACGAGTGAAGACCCATGGGGTAAAAACCCAAACCCCTGAGGGAATGGGAACGGTCCAGCGGGCCGGGAGTGACCCCAGAACTGGCCAAGATGGCCTGCCTGAGTCTGGGGCTGGACATCCTGTCCAAAGGACCAGGATGAACCGCCACTCCCACCAGGTGGAAACCCAGACATGTACGGGCTAAGCCCGTAACTGCTGAGTAACTGTTGGTACCCAAAACCATCCGCAGGTTGGCCTGGGCGACCCAGGAATAAGTGCCCGCAGGCACCCCTACTCCCTGAGCCCGGGGGAAAGGGAGACCGGAAACCGGACTCCTGGCCTGAAGCCCCAAACCCTTGGAGGAAAACCCCCTGGGAAACCCTGCACTGGGAAATCTGGATTGGGACGGAAGTCCCAGAGCCAGAAGCCTGTGAGGGTGGGAAAACAGACCCCGCGCTGACACCAGGATTAGTGAACTCAAGTGTCACTAATCCCCGTAGCCACAGACAATCCTGACAAAAAGTCTGTGGCCCCTGACCCTATACCCGAAGGCACAGTTCCGGAGTCAAAGCGGCCCCCACCAACGACGCCACCTGGCGTGCCGAGGTCCCTGAAGGAATCAGAGACCTCGACCGGAAGTCCCTTTCCGACGGTAACACCGCCGCCTATCGAGAGCTACCGGCCAATTCGACCCTTGACTGCGCCGAGTCAGGGTCGGGCTGCCCCCCCCCCCTACTCCAGGACGCACCTGGACAGGGGGAGCCACCCCCTGCTGAAGGGCGGAGCTCGGTGGAACGAGAGCACCCCCAGCAGGAACGCTCTGGTTCAGAACTTCAGGAGGGAGGTCTTAAAAAGCTTACTTCCCTTACCGGAAGAAGAGGACGAATCCCTCTTCCGGCGGAAAGTTAGCTGGAAAGGCATGGGAGCCTAAGCAGCAGACTCCATGTGCAAACAAAGTTCACATAGTGAGGTCTGGCTGCAATGTCGGCAAATGGGACAGGTATCATGGGGTTCCCATTATCTATAGAAATAGGAACATCCATGCGCTGACCCCCGACGTAAACCCGGCACCTTTATCCAGCATCGAAACAATAAAAAATTGTAACAATGAAAACAAGGATAAAAAGTTTTCTAACAATCAAAAAAACTACGAACGAGATCATAAAACCTACCGTACGAAGCAAGATTGTACTGCAAAAAAAAAAGAAAACGGTCGTACAAAACGGCCGACAAAGCAGCAAGAAAACAATTTCAACTTCACGAAAATCCGAGTGACGAGACAAGTAGTCACGCACTCGAACACGCGGAGGAAAAACACGGCCGGAAACGAAGTTCTCGAACAATAAAAAAACTACGAACGAGAGCACAAAGCCTACTGTACGCAGCAAGATTGCACTGCATAAATAAAACGGCCGTACAACACGGCCGACAAAGCAGCAAGAAAACAATTTCCAACTTCACGCAAATCCGAGCAACGAGACAAGTAGTCACGCACTCGAATACGTGGAGGAAAAAACGGCCGGAAATACGGTCAAAATAAACAAATGACAATACTTAATTTCACAATATAAGTTGGGAGATGGGTTTATAGACTACTAATAGAGTAACAATATACTCAAACGACAATGGCAGTACGAAGAGAAGGAGTAAGAAAAGCACTTAGCTCAGACACCTCCGCACTCGTCGGCAGCCATAAAGGTAAGAGGAAGGGAGATCACTCTGCGTTCCTGCCGTGATGGCTCATGGATCGTAGGGAGGGCGGGATTGTTTTTCTTTTGAATCTTTTGTTGTTGGGATACAAAGATGGGTGTAGGTACTGTATTTGCATACTAAAGTTATGGTAATTATTACTGAAATGAAATTCTGATTTCAAAAGTATATCAAAACCCAATATTCTGAGTGAATACATTGGATATTTGTCAATGTGGACAAATCTATCACTTACTCAAAAATAAACATCAAATTCAAGCTATAACGTTATCAAGAAGATATCTACTACCTATGGATAATATTAATTTTGAGCTTCCCTTAACAGCTAGAAATGAAGAACTTGGTCTCAAATCTGTGGAAGAACTGAAGAAAGAGGGTTGTAGTGCGAAGTTCCATCAACTGGACATCACTAAGCTGGACAGTATAAATAAGCTAAAGACGTTTCTCCAGGACACTTATGGTGGACTAGACATTCTGGTTAACAACGCAGGCATGGCATACAAGGTAAAACTGTTTGACTACTGAGTCATCCATTGAAATTGATTACACTATGTTGATCCTTCGATCACTTTGGGTTTTCTTCAGCCGTATCTTAGGTTAAACACCTCGACCCTTAGCGTCACGGAACAGCTGTATGATGTAGTTTAATCTAAGGTTTGGCACTATTATATCTTATTTACAGTTGTATTAAAAGATGATATTTACTTGTGTACCTTTTGTACAATCTTGATATAAGGAATAACTTTAAGGTAAATGCTATTTTTTTGGAACAGTAATTTGCATTTCATGTATTGAGCAAATTAAAAAAAAAAATAATCGAAGGACACCATATGATGCCAGGAACATAGTTTGTTATTACATTCTTTGACTCCTTTTTGATGTAACTAATGACAACATTTTAATCTTTTTCAAATGTTTGTTATTAGCAAGCATCAACCGCACCATTCTCTGAGCAAGCAGAAGTGACTATCCGAACAAACTTCACTGGGACGCTTGATGTGTGTGAAGCTCTATTTCCCCTTCTACGGCCGCACGCAAGGTAAAACCAGGATTTATTCACTATCAAAAATCGATGTTTACAATTCCAACTGTCACTCGATCAGAAATCGAAATGGCATATTGTAATCGTTATGTTCGTCGGTTAGATATTCCGTCAGTCCATACGTCTGTCCTATTCATTTCTCAGTAAAATATGTTTAGTTTTGTTTTGCCAGTTTCCCGGACACATTTCCGTTGCCCTCCTCAAAGTAATGCCTCGCTTGGCATTGCTATTACTTGTTCCGACATAAATGTAACTAAAACGTTAATGACAGATAACAATTGGTTTCTAGACAATAATTCGAGATTGGTTTGCCCTTTCCTCACAGACTTCATTCACTGCTTCCTTGCAGGAAGATATGTCGCAATGTACTGTCAAAATGCCGTCGAGGCAGAAGCATTGTTTTGTGATTCCTTTCTCCATTTACAACCATTTAAACTTTCACCTCATTTGTTAATTGTTTAGTACATTGAATCATAACAGGTTTGTGAGACACAACAATTATTTGTGCCGATAAATTGATTTCGACTTCACCATTTCGCTCTCGAGAATTTAAAGCTACTATCATTTTCTTGAAATTCAAAATTGTATTCTCGTCAATAGTTTTTTTCTGATAAGCACCAAAATTGAACTTTGAAACAATTATATCACTTTCATACAAATTCTTTCTTACTTAATCTAACCTTTTTCGAAGTACCTTTTCATTATTTTGCATTTCTACTCTTTGACTTACTATTGACATATATCAATGTTTGTAACCGAAAACTAACCGGAAACTAAAGACATGAGAACAGACTTTTTATTTAATCGCTAAATAGATAAACAGGAGATAAAAATATGTATATGGAGAGACTAAGAAAATTACAAGAAGTATAAGTTCAGGTGCTCCGAAAGTATCAGCATCTTCTACGTCCCTGGCAACATCAAACATATAAATCTTGGTCAGTATAAATATGAAATGTCAAGTTCTCAAATAGAATAAACATCAGTTATATACTACAACGTGCACCAAACACGCCGAACTTCACATCGCAAAAGAAAATAACATATTCCCAAATGAGATCGCTGTAACGACCATTAAATTTGCATAAACATGCATGTCTCGGAACGCTTTGTTATAAGTTTGTTGGTCAGTTTCCGACAGCTGGCACGGCACTTTGAAAAAAAAGCTGTAATACATTAAGAGCGTAAGTATGGGAAAGCAACATACGATGATCAAGATTATGTTTAATACATACGGGCTTGCTACCACGAGGATTTCATTTAGCAATAAATAATTAAAATGCCAATAAAAGTCCAATTATTGCCAGATGTGATATCAACTTTTAATGTAGGATTGTTTGCTGCACGCAGACATTAAATAGATCTCCATATTTTAGCCCTCTCAACAATTCTGAACATTGAGCATATACAGATGTGTGTTGAATAGTTTCAAATATTTTATGAAAACACAATCGATCCATTTAACGATGCTATTAATTGTTTCAGGGTGGTGAACGTGTCCAGTTTTGTGTCTCAATATGCACTGAAGAAATGCAGTATAGATCTACAGAAGAAACTTGTAGACATTCCACATATTAGTATGTCGGAGTTAAAGACAATGCTGGGACAATTTGTAGAGTAGGTATAAGATATGTATTGGACATTTACATTTGTGTCACATAAAATGTAATCAATACTTAATATATATTATGACAAAGTAAACAACACATGAGGTAATAGAATTGATATTTCAAATACTACCTCTGAGATATTTAAACCTCATTTCATATAAACAAAAAAGAATAAATAAATAAAAAACATATGTTTCTACTTAAATACTGGCAAGAAATAATTAAGATATCTAGGTTATGCAGTTTAGCATATCAATCATTGCGTTTCAATATTATTACTGATATGATTATTTCCATATTTGCAGTCATTATCTGTTTGTCTCCAGACGCCTAAGTGATTACACCACTAATTTGTCTAAGGCGTATCGAGCGCGTGTAATATACTAGAATGTTAAACGTTCCTTGTGTACAACTGTTCTGTTAACAGCTTAAAAGTGTCATACGTCTGACACGGTATACAAAATTTGAACTATAAAAGATATATTGACATTTAAAGATTATTTAACGGAGGATTAGCAATCTGTTCTAATATGCACCCACTCAGTTAAAAGCTTAAGTTTCGGAGGAGGACACTTTACGATCAACTGTTTATACTAAGATTTCCAAAACATTTGTGTTGGCTCGTCTGATTTAGAAATAATAAGTTTGGAAATAGTTCAAAATGATAAAGTTATCACCGTTTGCTTAAGTATGACTAGAATATTGTCATATCAAATAATTCAAAACACACACAAAAAAAAAAAAAAAAAAAAACGAAATCGAAAAAAGTTCCTTCTACTTCGGCTCCAAAATGTTCTATGAACCTATGCAAAGTGTTTGGTAGTTTGAAAGAACTACACATATATACCGAACTAAAATATCTCCCTGCAAAGAATTGATCTTGTCAACGTATGACCACAGAGCGGCCCTAAAACTGCAATACTTTTTTGTTTTCATTCAATTTATTTTTCACATTTAATTTTTCTTGGCTGTAATATTGATTTTGACTCGCTCATAATCATACACGTGAATTTTCATAGAAATTATAATCCTATATTGACCGACTAAAGTCTTCCTTCTTACAGATTTCTATCATTAATATTGTCACTATTCAATGTTATAGTCATAGATTTATTTACATATGACATTTCTCTATTGTAAGGTGTTAACCTCAGCGAAACGTTTCTTCAATTTGCACCCTTTTTCAGTTCAGCTAAAAAGGGAACAACCGAAAAATTAGGCTGGCCACAAAGTGCATATGGCGTCTCAAAGGTGGGAGTAACGGTTATGTCTTTAATCCAACAACGAGAGCTACTAAAGGACGCCAAACCAGACATAGTGGTCAACGCGGTATGGTTAATAATCCACTATCCATTAAAGTGTATATTGTATTTATAGTAGAACGAAATAATACATCTTTCTATTGAAAAAATGGTTGAACATAACTGAAATTACAATGAATATCATCAGAAAGGGAGACAATTCTGATATTTTAATAAAAACAGACATATTCTTATATTTCAGTGTTGTCCTGGTTATGTAGATACTGATATGTCGTCTCACAAAGGAACAAAAACCATCGATCAAGGTAATATTTTCCGTTTTTTTATCATCTAAATGTTACATATAACTCAATAAAGAATGAGATATGATCTGCGCTGTCAGATACATTTCAAAGTGTATCCTATATTATCTCTCATTTGTTACTTTTGTAATTTGTAACTATTTAAATCTTTGTGAATTATTTACCTAATTTCTAGGACAAAGTTTTGTGAAAATTACGTTATTGACATACACCAATCAAATCAGTTATTTTTTCATGCAAGACTTATGTTTTTATTTCATTCTGAACCTAGAAAAAATATCGATTTCCCAGCATATTGAAATATTGTCCATGTGCAATATTCCTTTAAGGAAAAGTAAATCTATTTTTTTTTCAATATCAAGGTGCTGACACCCCTCTGTACCTCGCGCTGCTCCCTCCCAACACGGCCAGTCCTAAGGGAGTGTTTGTTTCCGATAGGAAAATCGGCAAATGGGAGATAACTAAATGATGATGGAACAAAATATTCATATAGAATTTGAACAGAGATGTCCGTGTTTCCATAGTACACAGGAATGTTACACAGAAGTTACTCAAATTTGTGTTGAACACGCAAAGACATTCTGACGACTCTCATTGCCAACAGCAATATGATAGATATGGTAGTAGCAAAGATATCACTCCTGAACCCAACTCAATATCGTCCGGTTATTGAATAAATCCGGGTCAGGTTTTGATTTGATAGACAATCTTTGTAGTCCAATTTCAATCTTTCTAAATGTTCGGACATCAACGCCATGTCCTCTAGAAATGAATTGATTTTCTCTCTCTCTCTCTCTCTAACTTTATTTATATATATTTATGAAAATAAAATAGTTATGAGCATTTGAATGGCTTCATTTAAGAAAGTGTAGGCGAAAACTTCTTAACTTAAATATTTTTAAAGACGCGGATGTAAAAAACACTTCTTGAAACAAAATAATGATTTATTATTGCCAAAAAAGCTGTACTAAATAACTGTTTCAACCTTTTTGGACTCGTCAGTGTTGTCAAGGGCTTAATGTTTTTAATCTAGGAAACAACTGAAGCAAAGGAAGGAACATCACTTGCGAACATTTAAGGAATGACATCACGCTGTGGAATATCCCAGCAAACATAATATATGGAAACCAAATGGGCCCCATCTGGGCATCCAAATGGGTCCAATATGGGCAATGTACGTGGGGCCCACATGGGTTTGCAACCGGGCAATATAAGGGGCTAATCTGGGCTTGCCATATAGTATCTAGGGTTTATGCAGGTCCAATGTCTAGCATCTGATGGTTATATGGGCCCTATATGGGTCCCATGTTGAGCATCTGTGGGTTATACCATTCCAATATGGGTTGCTTTTCTGATAACCTAATGGCATACAGGCATAGAAGATCCATGTTCAAACATCAGACAATAACTGGCACCTTTCCCTACATGATATTTAAGGCCATTGCAAAGTTCACAACATTTATATCAATTTGCAACAAAGTTCAACAAATACAACCAAGAAAAGAAATTTGTTACAATATTTAATAGCGCTCAAACAATGAACCTATGTTTACAAGCAAATTTGGTAATTAATACATCCAACCTGAACAGCCACGTACGAAAACTTCAGTCTTTCAAACTGAATGGTAACAAAGTAAATAACACATCCTGTTCCAAATATATGACTATAAATGTGTCTTGGAATTTGTGAGCTATCACTAAAGGTGATGTATACCCCCACACAGCTGCTTGCTAGTGAACTTTGAAAAAAATTATCAAAGGGCCATAACTTTGAGAAAAATCATCCACAACCAAAATATAATATACACATCATTGCTTGCTAGTGAACCTTCCTATGAAGTTTTATTGAAATCCATCCAGTAGTAATTGAGAAATAGTCAGGACAAAAAAACCCAAAGACTAACCGACTGACAGAGTGACTACTATACACCCCCATAACTATGTTTGTGGGGGTATAATTATCTAATTTTCAATGGCCACTCACAAATATTTTTAATGGCAACGGCTTTATTGGTCTATTGTACCGCACTTTTGAAAACATAAAAGTTATTTTAACAAAAGTATTCAAGTCTGTTGTTTACAAGTTTAAATAACACATACAAAAAATATCAAACTAGTATAGTATGATTTGTGTTTCCTTTCGTAAATAATAAATGTATAAGACTACATGTACTATTGTAACATAATACAATACAAGAGCAGCAAATTTTCGCAAGATACGCCCATCCAAATGACATTCCAAGGGAAATAACTCAAAGACTGGGCAAGGTAGAGTTATGGTTCTTCCGCACTGCACTCCATATCATTGCAAGTAACACATATGCCAAGTTTCAAGACAATCTGACAAAAGATGACAAAGCTATGCTACGGACAAAGACTGGACGCCGCCTGCCATAGTTGATCCCATAATACAACCCGTCAAGACGGGCGTATAATGACATTAAAATAAACATTATTATGCAGTGTGGCAAAAGTAACTTGCCTAATAATACTGACTTAGATGTGTAATAAACAACAAATTATAAAATAATCATAAAATCAACAGTTATGCAGTTTGGCAAACAATACGGACTTAGATGAAAAGAGAACAAAAAATGTAAAATAATAATAAAATAAACACTATTATGGAGTTTGACAGAAGTAACTTGGCAAACAATACTGACTAGGATGTGTAGTGAACAACATTTAAAATGGTAATATCATGGAGTGTGGCAAAAATTACTTGCCAAATAATACTGACTAGGATATGCAGGAAACAACAAGTTTTAAACATTGATAAAAACTAAAATTGTATCAATTGGACATGAATTCCTTGTACAGTAATGTATTCACAATGAAAATGCCTTTCTTTACAACAGTCCACACATTAAATTAAGGCTGTTCATCCTTGGAAATTAGAACTAATTGACCAGTTGATGAGGTGCATTCACAAATATTTTTTTTCCTTTTTGCTCAAGTGGGCTAAAATACTACAAAATTTAGAACAGAATCTTTAATTCATTGTCAGTGTAATTTTGTATTTAACGATTTAGGGCCATCAGTAGGTCGGGAAATTCCGCTTCATTTTGGAACACCCAGTAGACATCACAGATCAAGTCCGGGATCGCTCGGTTAGCACGCCGACAAAAAAGTATGAAGCTGGGTGATCCCTGACTGTCTCGGTTACATCTTTGGGTTGTTACAAAATAAGACTGAGTTTCAGGGCCTAATATTGGGCCTAAATCCTTAAATACAAATATAGAATGTATGACATGCATTTAATGATAACTAGCAAAAAATGGAGACAAATTATTAGCAGTTAATCCTGAGTGCTGGGTGATACTAAGGCAGAAGTTTCTGTAGGTGTCATAGCAGCTGGTGTCCCATGCATCCTTGCTTGTCTTCCTCCGTTTCTGTCCCTGGCCCCCGCAAGCCATTTAGTAATGGCAGCCTCTGTGTCCTTCAAGGTTGCCTGTCGTGTTACTGGATTCATGCGTAGACAGCTTTATAATAAATGAAGGTTATGTTCACTATTTTACAGAAGGAATGTTAAACATACATTGGTGAGATTCAAAAGATATTATCTGTGGAATATCTTGCATCTTAGAACTACCTAATTATATCTCAAACAAAACCATATTCAGTGTAACAAGAGTATATTATGACAGCGCCATAGTTCTGATCAAGTAAGTGGTGTCAGCAAACTGACACAAGATTTCTTTCTGAGCTTCAACTGGTGACAACCAATAGGGAATTACATTTTTTTGTGATTTATCTGTGAAGTTCATAATCATATAGCTAGTGCTATTGGAATGAAAGCTTTAAGATGAAGATTTTCTACCCATTAAAGCTGAACACATGGAAAGACAAGTTACATTTATAACTAGAACTTTAAGCCAAAGGGTTAGGCAAACGAATGTCGACACCAGAGTTCAACGAAAAAGATTTATTCGCTATATACTCTATATAGGAAAAAGATTTGAAGTGGAATAACTCTTGTAAAAATGAATGAACCTATTCGGTGCTACCAATAACAAAAACAAGAATAAAAGAAATAGAAGGCATATTGTATAGTTACATCTGGGGAGGGAAAAAAGAAAGGGTTAAGCAAAAAACTATAGTTCAAAATTATGAGAGGGGAGGATTAAATACAGTTGACCTCACAGCACATGTTAAGTTAATGTTAATAAAATGGGTGAAAGCGCTAACAGACGAACAGGATAGACAATGGAAAATAATTCCGGGGAGATACCTTACCAAGGCTGGAAGAAAATACATAATTTTTGCTATGAATATTGGTAATATAAACCAACTGAAAGAATTTGACATTCCCACATTTTATAAGAAAATTATAAAGGCCTGGATTGAAATGGGAGGGGGACAAAAACAATATCCAAAACACACTGTAGACATTGGAGGCCAGATAATATGGGGAAATAGATTCATCACATATCAAAATAAAGTTATAGTCTTTGAAAAATGGATTGAATCAAATATTATAAGAATAAAAGATTTATTAGATAATCAAGGAATTATTAATGAAAATATTGTTTTAGCAAAATTAAGAAACAAACACAATTGGATTTCAGAATTCGCTATTTAAAGAAATCCATTCCAAATAAATGCAAAAATAAATTAAAAAACTCAAATATAGACAAACATATATGGAATACAGAACCTTTTAAACCTACTATAAAACTGAAAACAGCTATATGGGAATTAGATCAGTTGTGCAACAAACAAATATACAACTATCTTAAACACTTAAACTCCCAAAAACCAATCTCCTACATCTATTGGGCTTCCCAATTTCCTGATGACGAAGACTTAGACAAAAAAACGGCAAATGCTCTGAAAATCACTTTCACTCACATTTATGATAATAAGCTGAGAATATATCGATGGAAATTGATTCATAAAATCTTAATAAACAATCAGTTATTATATAAATATAAAATAAGGATTAATCCACTATGCAACTTATGCAGTGTAGTTGAAGATTTTGATCACTTTTTTACAAAATGTGACTTTATAGTTCCTATAAACAATCAACTGAATAAAAGTTTTGAGTTGATAGGCTATAGAAAAGACATGATAACATTAAAAAACTTAGTGCTAGGTTATAAACTCCACAGTGACAACCATGTGAATATAAATATTTTACTAACACTCATTGGATTCCAATCTATAAGGGTTACTGTATGAGTGATAACAAACAAAAACAAGTTAACTTAATAAACGTTCTAAAACAAGAATTAGAAATGTTTCTTGAAATTCAAAAACACAAAAATAAAAGTATTCCTAAAATTATAAGTAATTTCTTCAACCACTTAGAATAATCTAAGTATTAATTTTAATCTATAACTCTTTTGCGAAACCCGGATGGCCGCGAACAGCATGTAAACATAACAACACGTGACCATTTCCAATGTAAAAATAGCTTCCTCAAACCGTTAAGCCTGCCTAAAACAAAGTCATTTCATATTAAATATTACTTTACCTAATACTAATAAATACACTGTAATTACTATAAATTACATAAGACAGTCATAACTTCTTATCTAATTTGCAAGAAAGCGGGCTTCAACCAAACTTAGGCCTGCTACTCTGTTTCTGTTAATGTATATAGATCTATCTGTAATTGAGCTTCAGAAATATCATGCCACGATAAACAAAAAACGAATTCAATAGACTAAAAATACCCTAACAAATAAACTGAGGTTTTGGAAACAAAATGAATGTCTAGACTTACCATGTCAAGCAGTAAATGCTCAGCGTTATGCAGCCATGTGCTCCGGTTAAAGTACCGTTGGCGCCTATAGCAGATAGTTATGAATACTTAATACGACTTTTTATTGTCTTAATATTTTAATATGTTTATATACTTATAAACAAAATGCTTTGTTGGAATGAATGTGATATCTATTTTATCTACTGTAAACAAATAGCTATAGGTCAGGCTACAGCTACATGTATTTAGGATGAATGGTTATGTGAAAGGCGAGTGAAGAATGTGAGCCCTCCTGCGAGAGGATATTTCTGTATCTATTTGTTTATCACCGAATAAAAAAAATGTAAAAAAAAAAAAAAGAATCATAATGAAAATTACAGGTGCACAACTTTATATAATAGGAAGGATCTCTGTAAAGTTTTAGCAACGTTGGCTAAAAACTGTAGGAGAAGGAGCGCAGACAAACTTGTGTATACGGACGGACGGAGAGACGGAAAACCCGAGTCCAGTATCCCCCCCCCACCCCCATAATTTCGTTGTGGTGGGTATAATTATTCAATTGTCAGAGAAAATGGACTCAAATACATATAAACCGATTTCGAAAGTAAAATTGCTTCAACTTACGATAAATAATGTCTGTGATCTTCAGCCCCTCCAGCCGTCTTTTTCTTTTAAGCCCTTAAAGTTATACTGTCGGGCAAGGTTGGTGTCCATAATTGTCCTCATTGTTCGAGCAACAGTGTCCTGAATATCACGGCCACCAAGGTCAGCTAGGTATTTCACCAATGCAAGTTTAACAAGGAATTGCTCTCAACACAATTATCAAAAAACATCAAAACTAACTTTGTGAGATGATGGCGCCAATGGTTGACTTTGGTGTTTTACACTGCCGAAAGTCAAATACGTATTGACATATTCGACTGCTCAATACGTTAGAGTTTTTATCTGTGTATCAGATATCTATGGTTATTATATAATGTAAAATAAATTTCTGCGATTTCAAATGAAGACTATTTATAGGATACACTTAAACTTCTAATACGTTCTTAGGAATCTAGAGGCATTTTAAGTGGTTCCCTCAGTACACTCACACAACTGCTTAGTGCTAACCAACAACTTTTAAATGATACACTCAAAAATCTGGCTAAATAAAATACATAACAAGAACTTCCAAATGATATAACATGATAATATTTCATAAAATCCCTTCAAAATTAATATACTAACAACTGAAGAAGATGCAGTTTCATCGTGAACCAGAAAAGCATGTTCAATAATTGTGAATTAAAGTGGTAATGGTGCCAGTATTTTTTTTTTCAAAGTTAATTTGTTCACGAAATTATATAAAATATGATTTACAGCTGTTTCAGTTTCTACCCGCCAAATCTTCCAGCAGCGTTATCTATTTCCGTTCGCAACCGGATGTCGAATTATTTAAAATTAGTGGGAAAAAATAGCGCACGCGCGAGATGTAGATAATTCTAAGTTATTTTTTTATATTCTCCATTTTATTTTGTTGAATAATCACAAAACACATTACTTAAGGCAAGTGTGGCAATAATTAAAAAAAAATCCATTTTGTCCTAACATGCGTCGATCACTTCTCTTTATGTACAATGTGGTACGTACTATATATGGGTCCCTCACGGGTACTTATTGGGCAAACACATATACATTTTGGATGTTTCATGTAACAAATATCACATTTTTTTGTTTTCTTTTGATCGAAGTTGTATTAATAGGCCATAAAGGATTGTATAGTCAAATGATATACATTTACGAGGTTGTTTGTAAACAGCACGGGTCCCATATGGGTACTATGTGGGCAAACATATGGGTACTATGTGAGCAAACCCATATGGGCTTGCCAGGATTTAGCTCATATGGGACCCATATACGCTCGTTTGCTGGGATTTTTAATTTTAAAGAATTGTGAACAGCGGTGCAAGCATATAACTGTAAATCATACTGGAATATAGTTCGTGATAAGTATAACTTGGTCTCTTCGATCACTTCTTGGTAATAGACAGTGTTATGCAAGGGTCCCAATTTAGATCGTCTCTTACGACCATGCAGTGGAATTAAGGCGACCGTCTTATCGATACCTTTATCAGAAGACATTGGAGTTACATTCCTGACATGATAATTAGTCACATAATTCGACAATGTATGGACGGGCTGTCTTTAAAAAAAAAAAACAAATAGAAAAGAAGTACCCGGTAATTATGAATCTAATATTGTCTTTTTGATACTGAACTGATTTCCTACATAAATTATCACCACAATGAAGTCAAGAAGACAATTTGTAGTCATTATATTAAAAACTGAAAAAGAAGAAGAAGAAAAAACTTAGTAGGTTTTCTAATATGATATTACATAGCTTTGTAAATTAATTAATTAATTAAAAGGGCAATTGCGAATTACATTCCCTTAAAAACTCCAACAAACGAAATATACTGCCTTGTATTGTACAGTCATTCGAGGACGAGTGCCAGAGCGGGCATGAACAGGCATAGAGACACCGGCTGACCGTAACCTTGCCGAGCGATTGCCACAATCAATAAGAACAAAGATATATATTTAGCTGTTATAAAATGTTTACATGCTGTTGACTGTATAAACACTTCTCACGAGCGCGCACGGGCGTACAGGTAGATAAACAACATACAATCCAATACACGCTCAAAATCAACTTTATTCGAACAAGTACGACTCAGATGTTATATACACACATAGAAAGGGAAAAATAATAGTTTATATACTCACCGTGACTGATATTTCACGCTTTTAACTGTTTAACTGACATTGGCATTTCAATGTTCCGGGTGGACGCTCTACTTCGGTATAAAAAAAATAAAAAAAACACCGTATGCGCACGTAACTTTACCAAAATACTTACCAAATTTTCCGTAAAAAGTCGGATTGTGACACTGACCACATGGAAACCCACCTCCCGCCCAGCGGACATCACCTTCTAAATACAATCTACATCTCCTGTCAGTCTATCTTCCCAGGTTCAGCATCTTCGATGTCTGATCTATTTATGCCCTGTGCCTTTTTATACGATGCTTCTTCTTTCGTCTAGAAATCTTACAAGTTCTAGACGAGGTAAAACTGACCAAAGTGTAAAAGTGGTAATGTTTTCTTTCCAACTAAATTATACCGAAAACGGACTCGTTAATGATTTTCAATAACAAGTAACGTAACCAGGTATGCTACGTCGTGGGGAATATTCTGTTCCCATATTTCTATATCTAGTGTCTGAGTTTATTTAGGTCATGTAACGAACATATCACGATGTTTTGTTTGTCAACATATTTATCTTATATTTAACACTAAATCATAACTCTTTTTATTGATATATACAGAGCATGTATATATATTTTTTTCAATATAAAAGCATTTTTCGGCATTTAAAACATTTTATAAATTTTATCTCGACCAATGTATCAAAATATCTTATCTTTTAACGGAAGCTTTCTACTCATGCCATAATCGAATCAATACAATGTTAAACTATGATAGCACCGTTCAGAGGGTTTTAATACCAGCGAACGGGTCACTATATGTAACGCCGTCCTAAACGACACCCGTACTGAACACCGGACTGACGACATGAGTGGAAGTAAGCGTGTTGCTGTGGTGAGTCATTATTGTCTCCCTTGTAGTGTTTTTAATGTGTAAATTACTCATTTATTGTTTGTGACAATGCCAATGCTATCCCATGCTGGTAAATGATATGTTCTATGAACACGATGAAACTGACATGTTCTATATATTGTTCTAATAGGTATGTTCCCTTATTTGACCGGACAAAATATGCTTGTCTATTATATTACATAGATATATAGTTTATATATTAATATATTTTTCATTTCAACTATATCTTCATTTCGTTTCTTTAAATTTTCCCGTCGTGAACTATAACGTTTTGTAATATAGTAATGTAGACAATAGCAGACTTTTTCTGTTGGTGCTTAATATCATTAAGGTTAAACAATGTGAAAAAATGTCTACATCCTCGTCCATTGTAATTGAACTTCATATGTCTAAGAAATGGAAATTGAATTTAGACATGAAACATGAGCAATAATTTATAAATTAAGATATTCTAAATAGATATATTCGAAAACAACGTCGAGTTGTAAGCTGACTAATCTTTAGGGAGAGGTCGCGGACATGATCCTTTCTGTTCTCTTTCACAGGTGACTGGGGCTAACAAGGGGGTGGGATATGCTATAGTGCGTGGCCTGTGTAAGCAGTTTGACGGCGATGTTTATCTTACAGGTAATTAGCTATGTCGTGTTTCTACTTCAGGAGAAGCTACCAAGGCAGCGTGACAGGGTTGTGTTAGTCGTTCTAGTTGTTGACTATTGCTTGGTGATAATGAATAATCTGATAACACTACCTTTATCACGTTAGTATGAGACGTATCTAGTAGTAATATTAAAGATGGACATTTATCATACATTTTAAGGTTATTTTGTATATCGTCTTGAACAGCATAGTCATGACCAACATCTATTATCATATATGATGTAGCATACAGTAAGTTGTGACTATGAATCCCAACAAGTTGAAGTAATAAATTGCATACATGCATAATAAAACACGTTATACGCTAGAGCTCATTACATTAAATTTCCTAACTATTATTAAACAGGTCGAAACGAAGAACTCTGTCTTAAAGCGGTGGAAGATCTAAAGAAAGAGGGATGCAATGCCAAGTTCCACCAAATGGACATCACTAAGCTTGAAACTATAAATAAATTAAAGACGTTTCTCCAGGATAACTATGGTGGACTAGACATTCTAGTTAACAACGCAGGCATTGCATACAAGGTAAAATTTGTTTGTTTACTGATTACTTCATAACAACAACAAAGATACAAACTATAAATTCTAGACTTACTTTGTATTGATAACATGTAGAGCAGAGATATATAGAGATTGTTTATCATACCTCTTTGTCCGATATATTGTATTACAAATATATAAGATAAATTAATGTAACTAATATATTTATACATAATATTTCCGCTCTGTACCGGTTTTTTAATACACATTTAAATATTGTTACGAATAAGTTGCCAAACAGACATTATTCTGAATTTGCTTTTGCTATAAGTTTCTATACTCAACAAAACACATAACTCATTTTATTTACATCAAATGTTTTATTTCAGCAAGCATCAACCGCACCATTCTCCGAGCAGGCGGAAGTGACTATCCGAACCAACTTCACCGGGACACTAGATGTATGTGAAGAGCTGTTTCCGCTTCTACGGCCACACGCAAGGTAGACAAATATTTAAACGTAATGCTAACATGTTAAATGTGACGTTTTTGTTTCTTTATGACATCAAATCAATACACGCTGATATACTTTTTTGACATATCACTATATTTGGTTTTGTTTTTGAAGTCCTTTTTACTTTATGTACGCTCTACTCGAACTGTATTAAGGACTTGTTGTGATGCATAAAGTCTATCAAACAAATAAGTAAAACGTAACTGTTTTCAACATGCAACACAGATCAGTTTGTAAACATGGATTCGAACAGGTTCCCTTTTAAGTACATTAACAAATCATCTAAAATTTATTATCTACTTTTTTCAGGGTGGCTAACGTATCAAGTATGGCATCTCAATTTGCTCTGAAGAAATGCAGTATAGATATACAGAAGAAACTTGTAGACATTCCACATATTAGTATGTCGGAGTTAAAGACAATGCTGGACCAATTTGTAGAGTAGGTATACATTATACAATGAATCTTTATTAGCTTTCCTAAATATTTTTATCACGTTGTTGTTAACAAAATGAATATAAAGGCATATACAAAACCTCTTGCTGTATCTATCAATTGCATTTCGAAATAGTTCAAACTAACAACTAAATTATAAAATAAACAGACACGGTTTGATGTTTAGTCTTTTATATGAAATGTCTACGTTTTTTTTACTCCAGTTCTGAAGTAAACATGACCTAGTTCTAGGTCGTACGTTGCAGCTGTCCAGTTTTAAGGTGAATCGTCGGTATTTTGTTTTGGATGTTAACATATTGAAATATATAGGGCAAAAGTTCTAGTTCGTTCAAGGCAGATCAGATATAACTTTGTAATACACTGAACATTCAATGCATTTTTTATTTAAGAATAAAAATATCTAAAATTCTTTTATACCACTTGAATTGTTCAAAAGCATGTCGACCTCTAACACTTTGTACTAATAAAAATCTTAAATGTAATATCTAGCCGATGTTTGTTATATACATTGCGAAGGGTTCATAATATTCGCTTGTCCAGACAAAATATTAATTTTACAGAAACAATGGTATACATGTATGTTAATTCAGTAAATATTCCATATTCCAGTAATAGACATTTCTTGCACAGAAGTCTCTTACGGAATTTATGTTTTTTTTAATGAAGTCTAACCGTTGTGTATCTATATGTATAAATTACACCAAAATGAAAAAAATATATATATTGATAATTATGATGACTGAAAGGTTGAATAGCGTTCACTGTAACATATGAAATATGTTATGTTTATTGTTACAGTTGAAATATGTGTTTGATAGAGCTTTGGGTTAAACTAAGAATGAGTGAAATTGAACAGGATGATGGATAGTTAAAACCTGGACGAATGTTATGTTTCTTATAAAGTTGAAAACATATTTTGTATATTTGGTTTTTAGTTTTCGTCTTTCTTATTTCAGCGCAGCAAAAAAAGGAACAACTGATGAATCAGGATGGCCAAAGAGCGGTTATGGTGTCTCAAAGATCGGAGTTACAGTTATGTCGATGATACAACAAAGAGAGCTACTTAAAGATGCCAGAACGGACATAGTGGTCAACGCGGTATGTAGATAAAGAATATTTTTATGCTATCTGTTAAGAATTAAAAAGAAAAGAAGAAGAGAACAATATACAAGATTGTTTTAGCTACAAAATTAGGGAGGTCCCGAAATATCTACTGGACAAATTTGGTAGGAAATCGGTGAATTACAATGCAGTGACTGGAAAGCATTGTTCTGATTGGTCAAAAATGTTATACAATCACTGTAGTGATATCAGTTTTTATCTTATCAAATCCTTTATTTTACATATTTATAGAATGAAGAATGATGATACGAGTAAAAATAATAGAATGACGTGAAAATGCATTTAGGTTACTTTGAGTTACAAAACTCTTTCGTCGAATGCTATCACAGGTAAGATGGATTTAACACAGGCGATAAATAGGTTGTTATTAGTGAGATAAAAACCGTGATTGCATATTATTTTGTTTTAGTGTTGTCCTGGATATGTGGATACTGATATGACGTCACATAAAGGAACAAAAACCATTGATGAAGGTAATTTGCTATGTGGTTGCTAACAAAATGACATATGAAATAGCAGATACTGTCAAAATGTCCTGTAAGATAATATATTTTTATGGGGCTTAACTTTCCTAACGTTTTTTCCTCAAAAACTACACTGTCGGAGACACTTGATTTTTTGAATAAAGACTTCTCAACAAATCTGATAATATCCTAATTTTAACATTTCCTGGACATATGAACACGTTGGTAAGAGTACCATAAAATGAATGAAAATAAACAACCACAGAAATGACTGATTTCTTAGTATTTAGTGGCACATAAGAGTTATTTTTATAACCTATGCAATAGTTTTGAAAAAAACCGTCTGAAATTCGTGATGTTTTGTGATGATTCACAGATATAAAATACATTCTAATCATAAGATCAAAATGTATTTCTTTGAATCTAGAAATGTACTTAGTCGATGTATTTGTTTTAAATCAAGGTGCCGACACTCCTCTTTACCTAGCTATGCTGCCTCCGGACACGACTAGTCCCAAAGGAAATTACGTATCAGACAGGAAAATTGGCAAATGGGAGACAACTCAATAAAGAACGAATGAATATAAGACATGTCACCATTCAGAGATCAAGCAATGTTGGTTTCCATGTACCCACAAGAATGTCACCAAGAATTGACTTTCAGCTCCATGCGACGAACACTACCACTGCCGCTATCTCTATACCGTCGTTTATCTTAATTGAAATTGCGTACTTGTTCTTGATTAAATGTCTTAAATGTTTTGTAAATGAATGTTCAAGAGGCACACAAGTAAATAGCACTTTTCAATACAAACCCTGAGTTAAATGTAATATAGCGGATACTAATTTATTGACGCCAAGGAAACGATTGTTGCACATCCAAATCAGTCTATTGAAAAACAAAGAGGTACACAAAAACAAATTAAATAGTTTGCTTCGCACTTATTGGCTATGTATATTATTTGGCCATGCTGTGTCTTATTCTTAATTTGTGTTTAAACATGATATCGTCGTGAGTTTCTTTTGTATAATCTGATATATTGTTGCAATTTTAAAATGAATAAGTGTTCCAACCCATTAATTTAACTTCAGCTTTATTAAGCCAAAGATGAAAGAAGATGAAGGCAAAAGTATTTATATATAAAAAGTTAAGAGTAAGACTTTGTAATTCTGGGCGTGTGTTCATAAATTTTAAGCTTGACCAAATTACTGATGCGGCATTTATTAAAAAAATAAAGTTATTTACAATTCTTTTAAAGTTATAAATTGTTTTGAATATCTTCAACTCAACAGTCTGAAAAAAAAACTGACATCAGAACAAAACACGACGGAAAAAAAGTATTTGCTTGAAAAGCATGTTAACTAATGAACATACACTAGCTGTGATTTTGATCAGATTACAGTAAGTTATTTACATATTACAGTGAACGATACAACAAAACATTGTGATAGGTATTATCGAATATTGGTGTGGCAAAATATTATCTCAACAGTTTACAGGACACAGTTTCACTAAACTTCATCAGCGTTGAAAGCTAAGCAAAAGTTCAATAAAATTGTTCAAAGACACAAATATATTGAGCAATTTCAAAACTAAACGTTACAACAGCGATTTCAGTCTTATTGTGTTCAACCCAGAGGTACAACGTAGAGATTAATAAATATATACATGTTACGGTAATTGATCATGGGTTGGCAAAGCCAGAGGTCCACAGCACTCCATTCTCTATTTTAATCGGGTTCCACCGCCGCTTTCGCTTGTAGATTCCTCATCATTCTAGACAGGACTTGACTTTAACTTATCAAAAATATATTACCAATACATTACAGAACACCATTTATATTTGAACATTTACAGAGTTGAAACTTGACAGAAACTTAGCTTTATAGCAATAAGTCAGAACATGACTGTTGAGCTATAAATTTAGAAAAGACTGACATTGAGGAACATTCAAACACTTTTCGCGAAAAAAACCTGACTGCGAAACGACTACGCAGTGAGCCATGCATTCAAATGAAAATATTCTAACCCAACTGTCTCCTTTTTAATCGTTAGATATGGTTCACTCGCGTGCAAGACCTCACGAAACGACCATAAGCATTTTCCAATAAATTGAATTTGTTGAAATTTTAATGAACATAGATATGCTTTTTACCCAGTTAAACTTCCATAACATTACATTTGTAATACCTAGCTCCATATTTGAGTTCAAAACATGCCGCAGGCTTTAATAAAGAGGATTTGGTCCCATTTATTATAGTTTTTTGAAGTTTTGGGGTAAAATTAGCACCCTGGCTCACACCCATGACAAGGGTCATATAAATAGGTCATAGTACAAACCATAGGTGACCTTAGGATTCTTTTTAACAAACATGTTTAGGAGTTTACTGGAGTACTACATATAACATACAATAGATTGAGTTTGGGTGTGTGTCAACTTACATGTATCGTGAAACAGGTCCTTTAGAGATAAAAAAATAATCAAATCTGACACTCGAATTGACATTATCTTTTTCGGATAGCGTTACTGATCTAGTTGTCATGCATGAACAGTAGGTGTCATGTCTGACTAGGGTCATAAACGTAACACGTTGGTACAAAGAGACCTCGAGGAAAAGGAGGTTAGGGCCGAAAAAGTAGCATATAATAAAAAAGGTATTTGGAAGTATGCCAAGTCGCTGAAATGAGGTCAACGTATAACTAGTTATAACGCCATCATTACATAGCATAGTGTAAAGATCATGAGTGGAAGTAAGCGTGTTGCAGTGGTGAGTGTTTTTGATTTTCTTTATTTCATACAATGTACATATCTAGTAACATTTTACCAATATAAACTGTGGGTGACAATGCAAATGTTACACAATATGATAAGTATAGCATCTAAGAACGTGCATTTTTTATGTTCCCATACTCAAAAAATATTTGCTATCGTGTTATTTCCTTTCGTGTCTGGAATATGAGTTTGTATACAGTAAATTAAGGATAATGAAATTTGGTTTATACATGGGTCATACTTAGGGGATGTACATTGTACCAAATTCAGGATAATCGACCTCTTAATTACAGAGTTACTGATTTTGATTAAATTTTCGTGTCCAGAGCATAACTTTTATGTTTTGAGAAAGGTATTGAAACGTGGTGTACAAATTGATCATACCAAGACGATTTGCAGTGTAGAAACTTCAGGGCCCATAACTCCTAAATTACTGAGTTATTGACCTTGTTAAATTTCAGGCCCAGAGAACAACTTTCAATTGATTGCATTATAACTGGAATACTAAAATTTGATGTATACATTGACAATACTAAGACAATCTGTATTGTTCTAAATACAGGGCCCCTGACCATTTGATTAGAGAATTATTGTCCTGTTGTTGAAAATAGACTGGTCAAACAATAGTAGAAGAAAATAAATAATTTGTATTTTTCCTGAAATTATTGGTCATGTTTGAGATAGACAGGTCTAGCAGTTTGGTTATGAAAATACGCCCTTATATGTATATATATTGATCAAGAACATAACAATTCTTAGAAGGTAAATAAAAATTGTGTAAATAAGAAAAAAATTCCCTAATTTCTGACATGTGATAGCCATGGTATTCAACTCAAAATGCTAAAAAGTCACAAATACAACTTTATAAAATTATTTTTGTTTGGACACTTGTTTTAAAATCAACAATACTCATAGTAACAAACTATTTACATTTCAGTAAATTTCTAATGCCTTAACAACATCACCACGGAAACTTCACTTCCTGTATAGTTAGTTTTTGGTGTGAAGACACAGATTCGAGACAGTCCAAGTGATAATCTCCAACACAATTCAAAACTATTATTTTGAAAATTATGAAATCCCACAGTGTCCACACCGAGAAACTGTGTACGGCAACCTAGGAGGATGTAAAGTGAAGCAAATTCAGGGCCCACAAACACTCAATTATAAAGTTATTGTCCTTTGTTTAAATTTCTCTTTGCAATAACTTAAGATAGAATAATGAACTTGATGCATACATTGAACATGCAAAGACAATGCGCTCTGAACCGATGTTAGGGCCTGCAACCTTTTTATTTCAGAGTTATTTCCCTTTGTTAATTTTTGTCACGAGCATCAACTTTGCCTGTATTAAAGCTAGGAAAATGAGACGTGGTGTATACATTATTGTTACTAAGAGGATGGACCAAATGCAGGGCATGCAACTCCTTGATTATAGTGTTAGTTATCTTTGTTAAAATTTCATCTGGGGAGCATAACTTCGCCTTCATTTAAACTAGGATAATGAAACTTGGTTGATACATTGGTCGTATTAAGAGGATATATGATGTATCAAAAACGGTCCCCGAAACACTTTAGTTTTCAAATAATAGCCATTTGTTAAAATTTTATATCCAATATCGTCCTTTTCAGGGAGCATTCAACAGCTTCACCGATCCTCTTGTTTATCAAAATTAATCTTATTCAATACCACAACTCTTCAAGACTTAAATATTTTTGTGAATGTATAGTGCCATCTTCTTTAGGTTACAGGTTCCAATAAAGGTATAGGATTTGCCATTGTGCGCGGTCTGTGTAAACAGTTTGACGGGGATGTCTACCTCACTGGTGAGATATTAAAAAGCTAGAAAGGAAAGGTCGATACACACATTAAAAGGAAAAACATATCTACTTTACTGGTGAAATATTAAACAGCTGGAAAGGGAAGGTTAATACACACATTAAAAGGAAAAAACATATTTTTTATCTTTTATATTTTTTCTTCTGTTTCTCATTGATATAAAAACAATCATATACTTCATTTATGGACGCCTTAGTGGCTAGTAACAAAAGAAAAGCAAAACAATTGTATAGGCGCGCTACATGTTTTCAGGTTCAAGTAATGCGTTTCTTTAAAAGGAATATCACCAATCACTTAGAAAAGCAAAATAATATTTGTACACGACTAGTTCTCATGGACCAACACTGATTAATGGTGACACTGCTAGAAATATCGGTAACTATTTTGGTTCTTTCTTCGTTGAGTTTGATGTCGTCACAGTACAGTTATTCCATTCTACTGTCTGTGTTCTTCTCACCACATCGTAATGTAATAACAATTATGTGATTTTAATGAATAAATTATTCATTTAATGATATTTGGAAACTTTAATTACCAACACAACCAATTGTCCAAAATATGAAAAACTATAATGGTATCACGTTGACAGCTAGAAATGAAATAATCGGACTTGACGCAGTAGAAAACCTAAAGAGAGAGGGACTTCAAGTCAAGTTTCATCAACTAGACATCACTAAGCCTTACACTATCAAAAAATTGAAGACATATCTCCAAGACAGTTATGGTGGACTGGACATCTTAGTCAACAACGCAGGCATTGGATATCCGGTTAGTACATTTGTAATACCAGAATTATATTTTAGTACATAACTACGATGTTGCCATTGTAAACCACTCGTTACAACAATTTTCAAACATGTATAATATAACCCAGCAGGGCCGTGATTGGATGAATGTTGCCTCCTGTTTTTTGGGTTTTTAATTTTTTTATTATGACGTCGTAACCTCAGATTGCCATATGGATACTAAATCAAAACAAATCGAAATGCAGACCTCTAATCCAATCCGACCCTCCAACATCTTCAAAATAGATCGACGATTTAGTCACCTAACAGTAACTTGAGTTTATTTGAGTAGTGACAATGGAGAGCAATTGTTACATTGATAATATGCAATGTGAGAGATTGCGGAGATAAATAGATAGTTTTAACATGAATGGTATGACGGCAATCTGCCGAACTTTCTTGTCTTTTGCCACACCAAAAACAATATATACGAATTATAAAAAAGTTACACGAACTGGCACAATTCAAATGATAATCCAGAATTATTTGAACTATGCTCAAATGCCACCCATCTTAGCAGTAGTATGTATATCAATGTAAATAATATGTAAGATATTGTAAAGTTAATGGAACGTTTTCATTCAGGAGGCTTCCACAGTACCTTTCGGTGAACAAGCAGAAGCATCAGTCCGAACTAACTTCACTGGAACGCTTGCTGTGTCTGAAGCATTGTTTCCTATTCTGCGTCCACATGCAAGGTAGCTTTAAACAGGTTCTTTATAGGAAAATAAAAAGCGAATTCCAATACGTTAAAGAAAATTCTACTCAAAATGTTAGCGAAATATGATAAATTACTTCCACAACCGTACACGTTTCCGTATCATTTCCTCAGCATTGCCATAGCATTAAACCTCCTGTTAAACTTTCATCCGAAAATTTTATGGATTGTTTTTTTTATGAAACGAAGAAAACGTATCAATAAATATACACACAATATGTATTAGGTGTTAATTATACTTAACAGAAAATTCATAAGATGTTAATTATTTGAAAAAAAATGTTTTTGAAGCACTCTATGTACATGTTTATGTTAAAATCAACTCAATCTGATTATGTATTCCCTATCGACTTATCACATGCGATAAGACTTGTTTCTGGTGTAACATGGACGGCGATGAAAATAGGTGTATAATACAATACAATACGAAGGTGTTGTGTACAGAAACAATGGTAAGTCAGTGATATAACGTTTCAAGTAATTTGTCTTTTTCTCCTAGGGAATAAAGGGTACAAAATAGCTATTTTTACGCAGTCATTCGAGACGATCACTCCAGGTATGCCAGACAACTGTCTGCATACATGCCCTAGGGCCTCCCGACTTTTCCATTCGTTCACCTCAAACCCCATTCTGATCTCCCAGAGTTACTGCCCTTCGCTTCACTCTGACAGAACCTCTATTATATCCTGTCACTTTGTTTTATTCTGATATGATCCATCTTAGCTAATCAATACTTGCGTTACAAAGTGCCGCGAAAAAATAGGGATCGCTTTGATTCGACCAACCAGAGGTTACCTTACGTAGACTGTTTGGTTCGAGATAAGGACAACGAACATATAGTAGTATATACCCCTGCATTGAATTTATCTAATGATATTTGGTAGAGTATTTAATTTGTTATGAATCGTTTATGTATAAAACATTACTGAGATGGATTGGAACAATATTATTTAAATTTCTACAGTCAAATAAAGTGTCGATACCATTAATGATCAATACTATTCAATTTATTACACGTGCAGCCGAATCAAACAACATTTACACGTACAACTGTATCAACATTTGATGTCATTCACTAGATCTGAGTTCTTTCATCATTTGAAGGATGCTTTGAAATTGTTAATCTGACTTACTTTTAATTTTTTTTATCGATACTTTGTTAATTAAAATTATTTTATTCCAGGGTGGTAAACATATCTTCTATAATATCTCAATTCATAATGAATCAGTGTCGTGCCGACCTCAGGGAAACTTTGCTAAGCCATACGTGTATTACAATGGAGAAATTAAATAATCTCATGGAGCAATTTGTAGAGTATGTATAACATGCTAAAGTTAAGTGCCATATGTATGAACTTTATAAAAAAAGAAAAAGAAATGAGATTCCGGAAAATGTCTTTATGACCTTTGTTACAATTTTTCTATATTCACTATAATAATTTAACTAAATAGTTCATTATAGAGTTAAAGCCATGATATTTTTATGCGTCATAAATGCTACTATCCCAGAAATAATTTCAATTCTACTTGGTGATTGCACATCAGGCATGACTAACGTAATACTGAATTCTTAATATCATACTAAAAATGTGCAAATATTACAGCTGCCCATACTACATATATGCCATGTGATTTTCTCTTGAAGATCACTTTAAATACATAGATTTTCATTATCGTAGAATTTCAATGTACATTATAGTTGGTTGATCCTACGTATACATTTTAACTTGTAGTTCAGCTAAAACGGGAACATACCAAGATCTTGGCTGGCCGAACACAGGCCTTGCTTCATATGGTATTTCAAAGATAGGAGTGACCATCATGTCCTTCATACAACAAAGGGAACTTCTGAATGACGCCAGGCCAGATGTAGTGGTCAACGCGGTAGGAATAATTCGTTATACAAATTCGAGAAAAGAAGATAAAGATGTATTTCAATAAACGATTGAAATTTAACAAAACCGTTTTTAATAACCCCTCATAGCATATGTACATCCCCCAGAAGATAATTTTCAGGTTGAAACCGATTATGTCATATGTTTCTGTTCTTAGTGCTGTCCCGGCTTCGTGGCCACTGACTTAACTGATCACAGAGGAACGAAAAGTATCGACGAAGGTAAAAAAATAACCATTTAAAAAACACTTATCCTCGTTTTTGCTTTTTCACTAATACAAATATTATGCTAAACATAATAAATTCCAGTTAAATTGCATATATTTCATCTTTCTTAATACAAACAGTATAAAAGGATTGTTACTGCATAACAACCAAGTAAAATACTAATGGAAGAAAGACACTCTGTATTTCGACTGTTAAATTCGCAAATTTCTACGCAAAATATTGTGACAATTTCTGACAATCTTTTTTTTTCAATGTTACCGTCATGGTGACACAATTTGTCGTCACTCGGGGTTGGAATTCTTAGCCATAGGAAGCAAGAAGTAGTGGGGGGGGGGGGGGGGGCAATTTCGGTCATTATCTCCTATAAGTTGTTGTTCTTGAGCATCTCAAGGAGGTGAAAATACGAATGGTGGAAGCATGTGCATGGGGAACTGCAGGAGCGGAAGGGATTAACCTGACATATAGGGAACAGTATGATGTTTCTTCACATCTTAACCGAATTCTGACTGTAAATTGTGAAAAATGTTCTTCACAAATGAAATCAAGATTACCTAGATTTATATCGGCCGCAAGGTTTCTGTGAAATATGGTAAATGAGTGGTCAACTGATTCTGTACGGTTTTTATGCTTATGAATGTTTAAATGTCGACCAATATCCATTATGGTTCTGTGATTTTTGATTGATGTGCGGTGATTATGTCTCAAAGAGCGTTGTTAACAACTTGTATGATAACCATTGGCTAGGTCCACAGCATTGCAACGCCGGTGCATTGAACCTGTCTATTGTTGAATGGTTTGAGCAAGGATAACGTTCTACTCCTTGTTCAATATATGCACCTGTTTCTGTTAGTTGGAGAGCGGATTTGGTCGGCGCCGTAACCATTTTCGCGGAACATCCCAGATGTGCTTCATTTGGTTCAGATCTGGTGATTTTGTTCAAATATTATCATAAAGAAGGTCTGGGTTAATATCTATGAATATGGAGGAAAACGTTATATGCAGCAGTGGAAGAAACCGAACTTTTTAAAAAAAAATTTCACCAATTTATCAAGCCTATAATACTTCAAAATATCCTTTTTAAATAACAACGATGAGAACGATATTAATATTTTGATATCAATATTATCTTTTTCTGAAATTTCAAGTACATATGTATACATAGTTTCTTTCTTTTTTGCCTGTTAGTATAGCAAATTCGCTCTACTTTAATTCATAATGTCTGCTGCAACATGCTAATCATTTGTGTGTCTTTTGTATAATTTTATAGGTGCTGACACCCCTCTGTACCTCGCCATGCTCCCTTTGAACACGACCAGTCCCAATGGAGAATTGGTTTCGGATAGGACCATCCTCGATTGGCAAGTGACTCAGACCTATTAGAAGATAAGGAACTGAATGTACATTGAACATTAGTTGCTGACACCCCTCTGTACCTCGCCATGCTCCCTTCCAACACGAACAATCCCAAGGGATAATTGGTTTCGGATAGGACCATCCTGGAATGGGGAGTGACTCAGACCTATTAGAAGTTAAGGAACGGAATGTACATGTAACAGATCAGAGAATAAAACATTGGGTATGTGCACTATATATTCTTGAAGATGTAGACTAACGTAGGCGCGCTATTACAATAATTACCATGCTATAGACTGGAATTTAACTGCGGAATTAACTTATATATTAACTTATTATTAACTATTTCTAAAACATATTTTTTATAGTTTGAAGTCACATAGCAATATATATCTGAAAGTACCTGGAAATTGTACCTGCAATGATGATACCTGATATGGATATATGGATATAAAAGATGTGTGATATGCCGTTAATTCTGATTATGTATACCCTTCCTTACTGAATATTTTCTTTTTATTTCATATAAAGCTGGATATATCTTACTTTATATGAGAACATGTAGTTAAATCCTTCAAGCTCTTATCTCTACACCTTAACGGTTACGGCTTAAAATCTAACGGCTACCTATTCAAGTAATTATAGGATGTATGACAAACACGTGTTTGTAATACGTTCAGACTATAACGTTACCTATTGAGAAAACATTTTTCTGTACGATAAGCGAAATGTTGTCAATTTTCTGTTTCTTGACGGGAACTTACCAATACTGTAGTTAACAATATTTGCATACCGTTGTTGATAAGATGTTTAAAGGTTCGTTCCTAATACTGTACAAGATGCTATTTTTGAGGGATTTGTTTTTTCTATTTTTTATGACTCGGATCGAAAGATCGAGGGCATATTTTTTTAGTAGTCTGTCTGCTTGTCTGATGTCAACTTTAACCGAGGTAGTGCTTTCACCAAACATGTATGCTGTTAGCACATGCCTTGCACCATACAGGTTTTCATGTCTCATTTCAGACAAACATAGCGTTTCATAAATACATCTTTTTTGTAATTTGTATTTTTATCTTTTTTATTATTCCCCGAGGTGTGATATACCTGCGAGGTATAGATACCTTGAAATAAATCAGTATATACGACAATGGTCTCTTCTGAATTGCTGACTGTGATGATAAAGCACAGTTGTTCAAGCAGACGAAAATTTCATATAACATTACATAACATACTCACACTTGTGTAACAAGGCGAACGAAAACACACGCTTTTGTAATGATTATTTATTTCATAAATAACAAAACAAAAACATTGTCAAATTGACAATGATATCAATATAAAATCACTGGAAGAGTTCCAGTCACTTAATTCCCTAGTATATCTGAAGCACAAGCTAAAGCCATATTTTGCTTTGCATGTTTAAAATTGTTAGACCTAGAATCCTATAAAAAGTCAGTCCAGGGTAGACATTCAGGGTTGACAAATTGGTCTACAGTTAACAGCTTCCAACCTTTGTTTCAAATTGTATCATTACATTCCCTAGTTACTATATCTCACCAACTCATTTTTTTTAATTCTTCCAATATGCATTTTTCCTCACTCAATGTCTCACTGCAGATGTTTTCTCAAGAACTTACAACTTGCTTTGTTTCGCTTCCCAACTAACGATCTGCTTTTCCGACACTAACTGGCCTTTAGGAGTTGCGGTGTTTTGGGACAACAAGGCTAGATAAAGTGGAGTCTCTGCACCTACAAAACAAAGACTCGTGGTGCTTGTATTACACATCAATGTTAGTTACATACATAATGCATTAATTAGTTGTATTTAACACGAAAAATTAAAACGGAGTATTTTGTTCTCGTTTGTGTTTTATACAGAAAATTATTCACATCGAGTAATTGGAAAATTCTCAAATGTCATCTTATCTTCGTTTCGTGAACGCATAGGACGCATAGTTATTCGTATATTAAATTCAATTCCTTCTTACTGCTGTGTGAAATTCGATATTTTTGAGAGCTTCTGTAATCACAGCATAGCCCGGTTTCATTTAATTAATCAAGAACATTATTTTTTAATAATTAATCTTGACTGTTTATCCAGCATGTTCGTTTGTCCTTTAAATATATGCTTAAATGACTTCATGGTCAGCTTTAGAAAATCTGTATTAAATTTATTTCTGTGTCTAATCCTATACATATCTCATCTTAAGATAAAAATTCTTTACTGTATATACATCCATTCGCATCGAACAAAATGAGGGAAAGAAATTGTATGAACTCCAGAAAATATTCTTCTAATTCCTATTTCATTGATATGATATTAATGTGCAAAAGGCAGGGATAAGTTACAAATCAAAATTATGAAGGAGAGCCTCGAAAAGTTGAGAACAATATTTGTTTTAAATGCGTAACCTATCACTGAATACGTTTTATAAATCAAAACATCAATAGTGTTAACACGTTTGCTAAGAACGAAAATTTTGAAGATTTATGTGCGACATGTTTACCTTGGTCGGTGGTTTTTGTTCCCAATTGGCCGGTAAGGTCAGTTTTAACGTACCCTGGACAACACTGCAACATGCATAAGGTCTTTTAATCTTAATCAAAATGGCCGTGTTTTTACAATATACAACGCGATGCTATAGAGTACAAGAAACATATAAGTGAAAAACATTTTGACATTTCTACTCGTCACTATCAAGTTTTCGCAATAAATCAAGGACCTTGGCATCATTGGTACCAAGAAGTACGAAACAGCCGTATGAAGCATGTCAACTCATTGTTAGGTTCTTCTGTATCTAGATCGATATCAAAGAGGTGTTATTCGCTTGTTTTTTTCTTTCGTTCAACCCTTTTGAATAGTAAGCTTCAACTTTTTAAATATGAATATTTTATAGATCTAGCGTTTACATGTGAAAACATACTAACTGATATTTAATGGCTTGAACTTTATTGGTTTTTATGATATAGACAGGAAATAAAGAAATTTGGTATAACTCATTATTCTCGTTTGAATTTTGTTTTTCCTTTTTTTCTAACTTACCGCGTTGACCACGATATCCGGCCTGGAATCTCTAAGAAACTCCCGTTGTTGTATAAAGGACATGACCGTTGCCCCTATCTTTGATACTCCGTAGCCACTGGTTAGTTTGCCGGTCGGCCAACCACAGTCACCATGAGTACCCGCATGGACGCAACTTAAAATGGCATTTTATTGTAAGATGATTCGAAAACAATTACAAGTCTTGATTTCCTAATATTTACCTAACCTTCTTCAGTATAACGTTACATAACACTACTGAACAAAATGTTTTAGTGTTTCTATAGCGGTAAAACGTGATGTGTAAATGTATCATTCCCTTTCATAATAGTAGTACTAACAGTGCTGATATAAAAAGTAGTTCCAAATATAACCAGATAAGTATACGGAACCGGAACACTGAAACTAACCTATAGTGTATCATCAAATCAATATTCGTTTAGTTTTAACAGTAGTTTTATTCCATATATTCAATGATTTCACATACCTTACATGGGAAAACAAGCTCAGATATCAGATACATTTCTTTAACAATGCAATACTAGGCTTCCATTCCATTACCTAATATATATGTAAATATCATTATCATTATTATTTTATTCATGTCCATGTATTTGTTGCTCAAAATTATTTGCCAAGCGAAAATAAAACCAAAACAAGACACACAAACAAACAGACAAATTTAAAAACAAGTTTATGTGTAAGATACTTACTCAACAAATTGCTGCATCAGACGTTTTAGCTCTCCTGAGCTGATGTTTTGATCAGTAAACTTCTGTTGTAGTTCATTGCTGCATTTAAACAGAGCAGCAACTGATATCATACTGGACACATTGACTACCCTGAAAACATATATCATTTCTTTTATTTTACGCTGATGTAGGGTTAAACACGGTTTCCAGTTGCTGAGTTTACGTAATCCAACAGTTCTTCTCTATGCTTAAATACAAAATCAACATGCACTGATTTTTTTTTATTGTGAAAGAATGTATGTAAGTGTCAAGGCGTATTCAGTGTAACTTCACAACGCCATCTTTCAGGCCTTTTTCAAATGCTTAAATGCACTTGCTGAGGATTACTGCGTTGTAAATAAAGAAATGAAAACATCAAAAGGCAATAAGGCCCCGTTATCTAGAGAAACTTAAACGAAGTTTCATTCGATAGGTGAATTTATGAAACGAGTGTCATATTTTTTTCATTTTACTGAGCCTTTGGCGAACTAAAATAGAAAGAAAAAACGTGACGTGTTTTATAAATCACATAGCCAATGGAAACGAAATTTAGGATCTCTTTATCACATGGTCGATTTCGAACAAAAATATAGTAGAAAACGGACATTATTTCTACATCAAATTTGAAATCATGTTCGATCTATATCTAACGCCCTCTAGATGTCTCCTTTATGTTTCAGGATTCTCTTTTGCTAATATGTCCTTATTGTCAGTTCAGAAAATCTTGTTAGCAGCGCCATATTTTCTTCAGAAATTAAAGCAAAAGATCGTTTTCATTAATATTTAAGTATTCTTTAGGGGTGCACACAGGTCTACAAGTGTTTTGGGACTAGATATTTGATCGGAATTAGTAGGGAAGCATTCAATAGAACACTATGCAAATTATTCCAATTGTCCACTGTATGGTGTAGTTCTGACACAATTCATATCTTAGGTTGTTAACTTTAATAAGCTCCTGATTTTATATGTTGCTTTTTTTTCCATTTTTTATGTTTGTGTTTATAATCGTCATCTTATAATGGTTTCCTTCTGGTGTTTGATAATAAAATATGGACTTACTCAGATTAATTAACTTGTTGAGTTTTATGTGGAAGTTGCACAATACGAAAACAATGGTATACTCACTGAATAACAACTCAATCCTGTGAAAAATTGCGAAGTGACTATGAATATTTACCTCGCGTGAGGCCGTAACAATGGGAAGAGGACCTCTGACACATTACAGAGCCCAGTAAAGTTAGTCTTCATAAGAGACTCCGCTTGATCACCTGCTTCAGTGGGAGAATTTATCTGGGACGATACAAATACATCTGTTAGTTAGAGAAGATATTTTAGAAGTGTCAACATGTCAAAAGAGTTTGTAAAAAATGAGATTTTGTATGTCGCAAAACTTCAGATATATGTTTTCGTTATCTGCTATTGATGTATCATATGCATCACGTATATCATCGGATCTTACAAAACAAGGACATTTTATTTTAGCAAGCCTTTGTCGAACTAACAGAAATATTCGTAACGAAGTTTATAAATCATTCATAAACCAAATAACAACCGGAAACGAATTTAGTATCCATGTCATCACATATTTTTTCAGACAAATATGGCAGAGAACGGACATTTCAACGTTAGACTTGAGGTCATGTCCGCTCTATATCTGAGGGCCACCATTCCTACGTCATCATGCCATCTGTGAATTTGTAACGTCAATTCATTTTCAAACAACACGGTAATCGTTTGAGAAAATGGTATAATACAATGCTACATGTTATAAAATTATATAATACACTGTCACATGTTATAAAATTATATAATACACTGTTGCATGATATAAAATGATTTATACACTGTTACATGTGATAAAATCATATAATATACTGTTAAATGTTATAAAATGATATAATACACTGTTACATGTGATAAAATTATATAATACACTGTCATATGTTATAATTTGTATGACTTGATGAGATCATATCTCTTTCATTATATAATTTGTAAGATAGCTTTCTATCGTTGTTCAAAATATTGCTGAAGGCCATGCCGATCATTGATGCCATTAATTCAACTGATTGAGTTTAATGAAACGGAAGATATAATTGATAATATAACATATTGAATGTGCTTGAGAAAAGAAAACATTTTTTTAAAAACCGTACGTCAAAAATTATCCCCGCGTTATTGACCAGCAGATCCAGTCCACCGTACGTGTGCTTGAGAAATGACCGCATCTTGACAATCGTGTCTGGTTTTGTCACATCCAGTTGGTGAAACTGAGGGTTCAGTCCTTCCTTCTTTAGATCTTTCACCGCCTGGAGTCCTAAGCTTTCATTCCGGGCTTATATCAGAAAGTAATGTGCTCATATATTCACTGTTATGGAATATATTTGTACATTATACTTATATTTGCAGTTTTAAACTGATGAATCATCATCGTAATACCTTGTATTGTATTGTCTGTCTGTCTGTCCGTTCGTGCGTTCGCGTGCGTGCTTAGATGTTTATGTCTGTGGGTGTGTGTGAATGTATGTATGTATGTATGCATCCATCCATCCATGCATGCATGCTTGTATGCATGTATGTATGTATGTATGTATGTATGTATGTATGTATGTATGTATGTATGTATGTATGTATTTATGTATGTATGACTTCAGGGAGATACAATGAACATCACCAGAAACATTTTTTCTCCATTATTAATTTTGATGACATATGGAGATTGATTTAGGACAGATAAATATATACTTAATATATATTTTTTAATTTTTTTTTGAAATCAAGGGTTTAGTAATGGTTGAATCCGTTTTTGATACTCACCTGTCAGGTAGACATCCCCATCAAACTGTTTACAGAGTCCCCTTACTATAGCATAACCAATGCCCTTGTTGGAGCCGGTCACCTAGAAGATAAATTGTAGGCGTAAGACAAATGTGTGCAGGTATACGGTACAAACTAAAAAATGATTCTGTGGAGGTAAATTAAAATGCCGTTATAAGTAAAGGTTTTCGGTCTTACTGACGACCATTCGATATACCGTTTTATAAATATAGCTAATGTTAAAATGGCAATGAGTAGAGCAGTGGTCACATACTGTCTATATCTGACTAAACTGTCATTTTTACTTACCAAAACCTATTCACTTCAATTTAATACGAACTCCAGGTATATCAGAATTCTACTTATTTCGGTTTTCCTAGTCGCTCAAATATTCATAATCCGACAAGCTCTGTTCCATTCATCTCTTAATGGACTTTGATGTTTACTAAACTGTTCACACACGTGTGTACGTTTTGTACAGCTCCCTATTCACTTGTTGAAAAGAAACATTCACAATTCTCACAAAACATTCCTTACTTGATATAATAATGCGGTAGTCTTAGAGTAATAACATATATCAGTCTGTTATAGAAAGTCGGAAACCCACGAGACTCCGCCCTGTCATTTGACTTTCTCGTGGGTTTCTGACAATTTAGAAAGTAGTGTTATTGACATATTTTATATTTTGGTTTAATAAAATTGCATCGCTCTATATTAACTTATACATCAAATTTTAATACCTATAAATACTATTGAATGTTCGTTATATTTTGTAACAAGATGTGGAATTGTAATTTGTAGGAGTGAATACAAATGTGTAAGGAATGCACTTCTAAATCTCGATAGAGTTCTCCAGGAATGTATACCAGAAACTACCAGACTTGATAAAGATACCTTTCGGAAATTATCACTATGGTATTAAGTTATTTAGACTGAATACAAAAATCAATCAACTCCATTAATGGAATTTTAATGGATCACTCCGACATCCAAATCAGAGAATACAACACGGTTTTCTAATTTGATAAGCCAATTCATGCCGAGTTTTCCAATCATTGCCGTGCTTATAACATATGACATGCAATTTCTTCTTCATATGTCAAAATGGTGACCTTCAGAAGACAATACACCGGGGGAGTTTTAATTCTGAGCTGTGATGTTAGACAAGATAACGTAGGAAATAAAGATAGACCACAAGTAAGACAGTCAGTTATTACTCTTAACACCGCTTATATGTAATGTAAATGTGTTTTAAAATCTAATTCATAGAAACTCTGTGTCTGATTTCGCTGCCAGATGAGTGTCCGAAACTGAATAAAATCTGACATTTTAACGATGTTAGATGAAGTTTGGCGACAGATTTAGGGCAAGCTCTATAATGAAACATATACCAAATTACAGTAAAAATATCGATCTGTTGATTCAGATCACTCCGAGCGAAATTTAGTGGCAATCACATGTTTTCTGTGTATATGTGTATTGACAGACAAAACTAGAACCTGTGTATCACTCATCTATATCTGTTGTCACTTAATCTGTGAAATGTATTATGTCCCTGCATGTCGACTTTAAGATTTAGATACAAACTGTCATACCATAAGGGTATCATACCAAATAAAAAATGAATTGTTTTCAGACAAATATCAAAATTATATTAAAACACGATTTCTCTATGTGTTCCATATTCTTACCACGGCTACACGCCTTTGTCCTCCCATAGTCCGAAGTACGCTGGGGTCTCCTCTGATAACTACTCTGACCCGCGACGTAATTATCTCCCTTCCTTTATTTAAAACGTGGTGCAACTATTTTACATTTGAGTATGTTTTGATATATAGAGTACAGTATGTGAACACAAGCACGTCAGGAGTATATTTCTATATTTTTATATCCGTGAAGGAACAATGTCTTTTCAGATCTAAATTTTGATCTATCATATCCTTTCATCCTCTTTAACCGGTAGGTCAATTTCTGGTCTCTGTGAGCATGTTTTGACGTGATAACTGCCTTCCGGTATCTCGGGATAAACAAGTAAACACTATCTGGTGTATATCTAAACCACTTCCTTTAACTAAACGTTTACAGTGTGTGTGTATAAATATTTCAATCTGTTAGTTTTTTTCAATGTTATCCTTAGATTTAATAAGACTGTTGATCAAGAAATTATTACGTTTGTCCGAATAACAAATGAACTTCTTTCTGTAAAAGGTTGCTCGTGTGTGAACTCAAAATCAACATGAACATTGTGTGTATATACATTGTATATTTTTCACATAATCAGTCTGTTACACGTATATAGTGAATTCGTTCATTTATTTTCTTTACACGCTTGCAAAAATACATATATATCTATATAATAAAAGAGAGAGAGAGAGAGAGAGAGAGAGAGAGAGAGAGAGAGAGAGAGAGAGAGAGTGTGTGTGTGTGTGTGTGTGTGTGTGTGTAGGTGTGTGTGAGTGTATGTGTTTTTTTTCCCTGCGTCTGTTGTAAACATGGACAATAACGTTACATGATGAATTTAAATTTGCACAACAAAATGGCTGCCGCCGCTAGATTTTGTCAAAATCTAACTTTTCTAAGATCGGCGATAAAAAAAATCTTATGCTTGTATTCCTGTCAAATGAGACTGATGAAAACTGGTCTCGGAATCTTGTCCGCAACACAACATGTTCCCGACAATTCATGTTTTTAAAAATATTTAAAAGGGAAATTATAAACAATTACAGTTTAGATCATGTATTACAATGTAAAATGTAATAAATTATTTGTTTATTTCTTAATTCACAGAGGTTAAATAGATATATGTTAACAGAAAAGTGGTAAGTGTTTGTATGTATAGACTGTTACCATCCAGATCCGGTTATGGTGGTCATTATTATACAAACTACTTGAGACGTACACAAACGCACCATCACACACAGAAAGTGTGTACTGCCTGTTTACATATCGCAAATAAATAAATAATTCTGAGGGGAAATTCGGTCGTGATAATGAATATCAAAATTGATCATTTTGCAATCTTCCTGACGTTCCAGGTGAAGATGTCCAGATATAATGTATAAATAGTGTGTCTATCATATCTTAAAAATGTTAATCAGAAATAAAGAAAAATATTTCCCATATATTCTAGGGGTATAAATATGTAGCGCATGCCCATCGGGAAACGACTTGGAAGTGTTTTCATGAAAGTTACTCCAAATGGCATAAATAAGTTTAAAGTACAATAAAATACATTACACAAAGTCGATATTAACACATAGTCATTTATGATTATCAGAAAACCAAAACGAAAAGAAAGACAACATGAGTATCGCAAACACATCAAACAAACTGAGACGAAATAAATGTTTTCTATATATATATATATTATTGTTGAGTAAATTGTATCTTGTGATATATAAAGTGGCTAAGAAGGACTCGAAAGTTACGGCTTGTGACATTTTAATCGAATAGAAAAAGAAATGAAAATTGAAAGCAATGTGCCAATTTTGTGAATGGTGAAGTTGAAGTGTTTTTTTTCGAAACAGATAATGTATGTTATGTTTACTGCAGGTATCTTTGTAGTGGTTTTGTTTACGTATTGTCATGTATTTAAAATCTATGTTCTCGTAATCAGAGTACACAGTATAATGTAAGATAGGTATTCACTAAGTATACAATAGTTAAGATAGGTATTCACTTTAGGTGTATATAATAGTAACTGTTTACAAACCCACTGATACATGGAAGTCACCTACGTAGGTAAACTAACATATACAATTTACTACATTACATAAGTATTTATGAACACGTGGTCACCGATGTTATCTTAGTGTGAAAACCTTAAACTCATGTGACGGTGTCAAACAGTGTCGGCGCCGCTAGTGTAGTGGTATCATGCAAGATTCCCATTCTTGCGACCCGGGTTCGATTCCCGGGCGGCGCATTTCAATTTTATTTCATGAATAATAATGAATGCTGCGAACCAAATAAATACCGATAGAGAATGAGCCCTTTACTTCTGTCGTAATGATAGCAGCATATTTGATGTCATGTGGTTGAAATGAGTTAATTATAAGCTTGCAGAAGACAATCGGCAAGTGAAACAGTGAGGACAGGAGAAAAACAAGAATAATATTTCTGTTTCGTTATAAAAATATGGCGATCACTATAATTTAACACTGATCCAAAAGTGTCAGCATCTTCTGCGTTTAAGACGATTGAAATAAATATATGTCAAATTGATTCTCTAGAAATCCTAGTTTTTCCTAGCTGTTGATATCTGTAACATACCCCGATTATAATACGTAATACCTGTTTACACCCCCACCCCCCCCCCCCCCCCCCCCCCCCCCAAAGAAAAAAAAAAAAATTAGAAGAGTCCTTTCCTATACACTATGCTTTTTCTTCAAAATATCATCAAGAATCCGTCAAAACATGAAATTCTGTGGAATTCATCGTTTATTGGTATGATCAACAACTTACGTACGGATGTCCTGTAAAACTACTGAGTATTTACCTGTATCTGTTGGCGTGTGAGACGCATTACACTTTCTGTATCGACGTGGGTGGGGCGAGAACAAAAATGTTATGAGAAATGTAAACACTAAGGCCTATCACACATCTTTGTGACTGTCAGTTATCTGACCAGTTTATCACATTTCCAGGGTATTGGCGATACGGGACTTAAAGGAAAATCTCATCTTACCATGGGAGATGTTGGATACCTGATAAAAATTACATGATTACATACATTATTGAAAAGTATACAGTGTACAAATAAAAGACTTGGTTCCTATAAAAAGTAAAAAGCAGCAGTATCTTGCAAAATTGTCTACAAAAAGTAAAAGTTTGACTAGTAGTATTTTTTAAAAGCAGTAAAACAATTGATCCCCTTAAGTTCGTGAGGTAAACTTTTGTTTTTAAATGTAGATTAATGGTACCAGAATAATTCGCAACAAATGATAAGATAAAGTAATAATTAAACGACTCAAGCACTGTATTCCTTATCTTGTGTCGCAGAATTCGTAATATCTGGACAAACTCTTGGATATAAAACAAACTTTGATGTTGAGTAAGCGAGATATTTGCAGTTAATACACGGACAACTAAAGATCTCTTGCGAAATTGAAATCGTCATGCTTATAACAGATTGTTTTACAGCTAAATAATGACTTGTCGAGAGTTAAACAATACAGAACTTAGTGGAAAATTTCGTTTTATCATGTTTGCATTTCCTTAAATAACTTTTTATTATTAATAATAACACGCCAAGTAAAATAGACGATATAACATCATTTCCGTGTTAAAAGTAATGTTCATACCAAAGACAAAGTGATATTTTTTTCTTATTTTTTATATAGACCTACTAGAAGAAGCAAACCCGTTGATTTTTTTAACCTGATCAATATCACAATTTACGTTTATCACTATATCAAGTATTTAACATAGCGCCGCTAGTGTAGTGGTATCATGCAAGATTCCCATTCTTGCGACCCGGGTTCGATTCCCGGGCGGCGCAGAGTTTATATGGTGTTGAATCTGATTACTCTCTTTGTGTGTTCCGAATGATCTTCATCTTTTTATCCACATCCGTATAAAAACAGGTACCTGTTCATTTAAAAGACAATACCCTAAACAATCCGCGACCCAGAGGTGGACGGCCCGTGATAAAGACAAGTAAAAGAAAACATCAAAAGATGTCAAAGAGACCTGGGTCCGTATTCATGAAACAGTTCTCATGCTAAAGCATAGATTTTGTGTTCAAGCCATGTCTTGTTTATGTTAAAAATTAATAAATAAGACTGATTTTGCCAAAGATTTAAAATAAAATTGACAGGACTTCAAGTCAAAATTTTATTTAGTGTTTATATTTGACATTTGATTTATTTTATATGATTTATGCGAATTACAAAAAAGTTTGTTTGCGTACAAAATCTATGCTTGAGCATGAGAATGGTTTCATGAATACGGGCCCAGATTTAGTATAAGACTGAAGAAGGTAAACGCACGAAATGCGCAAAACCAGCAGGTAATTATTTTCGTCTTCCAAAAATTATGGAGAGAAGAAAACGTAGCACAACAAATATTTATCATAAAAAAGTAATTTTAATGGCAGTTCAAGAGAAAACCCGTGAAAGTTTTCGTCAATTGATAATAATTACAGTTTTAAGTAAGAAAACTCTACTAGTTTGTTGTTATCTGGCTTCGCGTTTTGTTATATGATTCAATGATAAATACATACTATAGTAAACATTTTTATATAGAAAGGATATAAATTTGATATACTTGACATATTTGACATCAGGCCTTCAGCTGCTAGATGCTGCTGCCCAGAAACTTTTTCTGATGAAAGGCGCAAGATTCGTTGTAAGTGCTACGCACTCACTTAACTTCTTGTATTACCAATATCTCCTTTGGGAGGAAATAAAGTTTGATGATGTTTATCTCTCACATAGAAGTAGAAACACTGCTTAATGGAAAATTGCATACAAAAGTACAAATACACAAATCAGAAGAATGGCACAAGCGTTCAAAAATAAATTTGTCTTTTTATCGATATGAAGTTTTTGCTGTGATAGACGTTTTGCGTTGTCCTTATCGTATCCCATAGAAGCATCGCCATTGACTTTACTATTCTTGTAAACTTCTTGAGATATGTCAAGCTCTAAGGAGGTTCCTGAAATAGTAAATATGTAATACGTTATGTAATCCTGTTGCTATTTATACTTCAAATTACCAGGAAAATTGATGACACAGCAATGGTTTTCAAAGAGATGTATTACAACATGAAGCATTCAAAAATGATTTTTTTTTCGTCAAAAATTCAAGAAAATAATAAATACTATTTGTTTTAATCTATTTCAACCCATCTTTGCACATTGTATCAGGTCTTTACATCTATGTATAATTATGATTAAAATAACTGAGCAGCCAGGCGAGATATACTTACGGGTATTGAGTGGTGTATCATACGTGTTTTTATTGAATGAGGTAGTTTGTTCATGTTCCTCATCTTTACGAAAGGTTCTGATGGGTTCTATAGTCCAAAATGTAAGCCCTTTTATCTTAAAATATATAACAATTTGATTTTAACAGATGAAAACACACAAATTTGATACCAAAACAAACAGGCGCATAAAACAGATATGATGTGATTTATAGATAATAATTTGATAAGATTAAGTACACGTATTTTTTATTTTCACGCCGTGTCAATTATTCAGGATTAAGATAATTTATGTATAAAACAATAAATAAAGAGTTCTGTTGGCACTGGTGGTGCCTGAATGGTAATATATACATATACATGTGTGTTTGGATGATTATATGACCACATCTTAAACTTGCTCAGTTATTGATCATTTTGACTCGACTAATGTTCTAATTTCAGAACCGTTATGAGAGGTTTATAATGTCTTATCAGTCGTCCTAACAATGAGGAAGTACTTAATCCTAAAAGAAGCATATATCAAACAAAAATTAGAAACATTGAATATACAAAGAATAGTGGACAACTTACCTGTTCCGGTGGTTGTCGTTTAGTCATTAAACTAACGGCAACAGCTACTATAGCTGTTTCAACTAGGACCATAGCAGCGAAATATGTGAAATGGACTTTAGAGATAACTGTCGGTCGATCATCAACATCCCCACATTTGGGAGAAGGATATATAAAGTCCAATATCATCCTGGTTATTCCTGTTATTTGACCAATCAGCATTCCCCAGAAGGCTCCCTATATATATGAAATATAACGACCCTTACAGAATAATCAAACACGCATATAACTTTGAAATTGATCATCACTGTAATTTATCTGTGATACACAAAAATATTTTTGTGTTAAATGTAGAATAATTTGACAATGAAATCAGTCTAAACTTTCAGCTCATGACACTTACTATAAAATCATTAGTCATCATGGGTTTTTTTTATCTTCGTTGATATCATGTGGTCTCTTAATCTACGAATTCATATTTCCACGAATCGTTACAATAAGTATAAGTAGATTTATTTCTATATATTTACCAGCAAATTCGAGTGTCCATGAAATAGGATAAGGAAAAATAATAGTATAAAAACAAAACAAACAAACAAACAAAAACCAAAAAAGCAAAAAAAAAACAAAAACAAAAAAAAAAAAAAAAAAAACAAAACAAAAAAAAAAAAAAAAAAAAAAAAAAAAAAACCGCGATAATTGGATCTCATGATAATTTCTGATTTTACAGCAACTGATTTGCTGGTTTATCAGTTAAAATTGAAATGTTGAAATTACTGTTAAAGTGAAGACTGCTCAAAGTACATTACAATTACGTGCAGTTATTCTCCTGTCGTTCAAGCAGGTGTTTTCGACTTACATCATATGGAGCTGCATAAATTAACAGCATTATCATTTTCGCTAAATTAGCGCACTGAATTGGTGCATCCAGACTAATTGCTCTATACAGTGTATATAAGTTATTATTAGCGGAATCATGTTTTTACTGCAAAAAGAACGTTAAAATAATGTTACCGATAAAGTACGTACATTAACAGTAAAATTATACTTTCACCTGTTCGTTCACTCTAGGTACGAATACGGCCAGGAGAAATACAGAGCAGATGGGCGGGGCCAGGTACCCAGTGACGGCCTGAATGTACATAAATAACTGTCCTTGCTGTGCTGCCTGGATAAGGGGAATCCATGCAATACTGATAGCTACCAAAATAACGACGAATACCCTGCAATATACACAACAATATTTGTAACAAAAAATACCACGACGAATACATGAATGTATATTAGAAGGCAATAGAATATATAGGAAAATATCTCATTTTTAGATATTTAAAGTGATATCACTTTTTCTGAACGAGGATGTATCTGTTTCACCAACTTCACATGTTCACAAGGATGGCTAATTTCTATTGTTGCTTTAACGATTTTAAATAACATTCCCTCCCCTTCTGTGTGACGACTTTTGTTTTTAGTTCCCTTCTTCCACCTTTCTCATGAATAACGTCAACCAGACATAATACACACCTGTTGAATGTCGTTCAAATCGACATTTATCGTACACCTTATCATGTCTTCTTGTATGTTTATCAGGTATATGTGAAAATGTTTTCCCTTTGTTCATATTTGCAATTTCAAGAATTTATGAGGTATATATAAGATAAGAAATACATTCATATAACAGAACTTACAAACACGTGTAAAATGTCACAAATAAGAAAATAAAGAACTATACTAGTACATTATCTGCTGTTACATACTTTCCAACAACAAGAAGCTCTCGTTCCCCGGCTTGTTTTCGGAATTTCTTCCACAGATCCATAGTAAACACCGTTGCGGCACTGTTAAATACGGATGTCAAAGAACTCATCAACGCTGCCATCATGACAGACATCATCAGTCCGCGCATGCCTATGGACACAAATAATCACGTTAGACAAACCATCAACGGAGTGATGATATAGGCCTAATATTTCAAACATAAGAGGCGACTTACAAAAATAGAAATTATCTAATAAATACATGTATATAACTCACCAATAGGAGCTAGCCCTAGTATAAGCTGGGGATAGGCAATATTGGAACATCCAACAGGATTCTCGCAAACCTCCATACATTTCTCTGCGGAGTTACAAGCTACAGACTCTGTTAAAAAGAAGCAAGTCTTTGACAATTAACACACGCGTAAAACCTTGCAATAAACAAACGACAGCCCGCTATAAAGATCATGGTACACTTAAGCTGTTTAACTTGTTTGACAACCCAAAATGTTAAGGCGTTACTACTTATGTTAGAAATTGCATTTTGTTATTCTATTCATCATATGTGCGTTTATTTATAGATGTTATTGTTATGTGTAAACATTACTTTTTCATTCAATGTTAATGTTAGGTTTGATATTTACCTAGGAAAAATATACTTTTATGATATGGCGTACACTTGTATAGCAAACCTCGGTATATACATATAGTTTCTACCCGTAAGATTTACTTTGGAAAACCTCTGAAACGACATACACCTATATAGTAAAACCTAGGGACAGTTTTCACCTGAGCGTTTACTTTACAACAGCTCTGAAATACAAGACAAGGATAAACACTTCAAAGATTGTACAACAGACACATAAGTCAATAATACAAATTTAGAGTTAGACAGTATAGAGACAAACAAGTACCTGTGAATAGTTCTATCGAACACAACAAAGAAAGTACCGATATGTTAAGATAAAAGTGATTTTTATTTCAGTGTGTCTTACCTGGAAACAACACTCTACTGATCATTCCGGGCATGATAATGAGAAACAGGGGTAGAAACTTCAGAAAGCCCGCCATGATTGACGCCCCTCTCGCGTGAGCAATGTTTTTGGCCGCTAAAGCTCTCTGCACTATGACCTAAAACGAGTAACACACCTGTGATTTCTATATCATTTGGTCCTATCTTTAAAATATTCTTTTAATCATTGCATGGTCGTCCAATTGTATTTACTGTAAATATGAATACAACCTGGGTGTCAGAAGTACTTCATAATCATCTATCTGTCACCGATATTGCATTCATATTAACAATGTATTCACATATAAATGACCGTGCCATATTAACTCATTGTAAGCTTGTATTTATATATTAGATATTAAGGTTTATCCCTGTATGGTTGTTACTGGAAAAGCTTTCCGAGAATCATAATCATTTGAATGATTAACTTAAAGCTATGTGTGATTTCTGATGTGACGTGCTAAGCGTTGATGTAAGTATGTCAAATCAGTGCCAAAATGAAAATTGAGTGGATGGGAGATCACTCCGAATATCGTTTAAAAAAGGTCTTCGGATTTCGTATTTAATCATTTAATTTTCCAATGTGACCTAATGCTGTGGTTGTAATAGCAATAACAAATTAATATTAGTGGCAGACAAAGTGTATGATATGTTTGAATGTTTGAAACTATTTGAAATATAGCTAAAATCCCACACATTTTAAAATAAAGTGAGTTCAATAATCATTCATGCTTGTATCTGTTTTGGGAAGATTCGACATTAAGAACCATGGAAAGAAGATAATATCTTGCCACTCCCAATAGTAATTAATAATACTATGTTACCTATGTAATAAAAGCTGATTACATATTTTTGTTGTGATAACACGTGCAATAACACCCAAAACCGCGGTTTCCAACCGTATGTCATAATTGCATGGCATCATATGCATAGTGGTGTCACATTGAATAGAGTGTATATTGCAATAATATTTTTGATTTAGACTATGTGGGAGTTAAGTAAATTGTCATTTTACAAATGTCCGCAAAAGTATATAACAAAATTTACAAAATTGTAAATTGTTTCCACTACATATGGTATTTCTAAAACCAATGGTGATTTTGAACATAATCTCTCATCAAAGGCTCAAAAATGAGTGTTTCTTGAATTTCATATAAATGGAAACCCAAATAAAATAAATATGAGATATATATTAAATATATACAGTTAAATAAATTATATGAAATGTGATCAGTAATTCACTAATTCCGATTTTTATGGGAACCGATCTTTGATGCATTATTTACTAAATTACAGGTCAATGTTGGATACCGTACAGTTCGTAGTTTTCACGGGTCAAAATTTTCGCGGTTTTCTCATAATCAATTAGATTATATTTTCAAAAAATTAACTTTCACTATCTAGATGTGGAAGGACATCTAATACACAGTGTCATATTATTTCATGGGTTATGCTTTCGTGATCATTTTAAAGTAACGCGAAATTGTTAAAATATTATCTCTGCGAAAGTAACTGACTATACGGTAACATATTTAAAGCGAGAAGGTAAATTTATGCATTGATGTTCAGGAAAATTCGGTGAAATATCGCTGTAAAAATTTGATATCATATTGATTCTTTCATCTGAGAAATTTTCCCTTTCCCATCCCAACAAAGAAAAAATATCCATGAAGTTTGATATTCGTACCTGATCCGCACACCAGTACCATGTGGACACAAACGTCGACCTGATAAGGACTCCGGGCCAGGGTAGATCAGAGGTCACAGGGTCACGAAGAATATGAAACGCATCTTTTCGGGGAATTCCACACGTGGAGAGGGAGTCGTTCCCAAACGTCGTATTATTGGTAATATTAAGAATCACAGTCTGTTCGGGAACGGCATGGAAATACTTGTACATCAATCCGCTAATTCCTCCAACTTTTATAAATGCTGACACAAAATAGTTTAAAGATAATTGTATAGACTTATATGTGGACGTATGTTTCTTATGTGACTTATAACACTGTCATGAAAATACAATGTAATGTAATACTTATTCTATAATAGTTCCTTAATATGCTATAAGTATATATACCAATACATTTTCAATTCACAATCATTAAAAAATATCAAGACAAGTTTGGCGATACGCATTTTTAGTTGTGAATTTGAATAGTTGAAAAGAAACTTGCCTAATATTGACAGAGTTACAGCCCCTCCTAACATGATGACAGTCTGCAGCGTGTCCGTAAATATCACAGCGGCCAGCCCACCTTGAGGTGACAAGGATAATGGTTTTTATTTATTCCGTTTTTTTTTTTTCTTTTTTGTTTTGTGTTGTTTTGTAGCCTGTATTTTTCTATCTTTTTGGTTGAAGTTAATATAGTTTTTTTTTCTAATATTCTAGAAACTCGCCGATTGTAACACATATTACACTATGTTATATATAAATAGTTACGCAGTGATCTGAACACCACGTTTTAATTCACACATACAGTGATACGGTTCAGGATATATAAAAGTACTTGGCGTCAATTTGAAATTATCATTATTATTGGGTTAGTGGAGTTCCCAATCTAGATTTTGACATTTTTTCAATCAAGTTTAATTTTCTTCGGGCACTTTCTAGGTTTCAAATTTTATGTCCTTGGCATCAGTGACAAGTTCCAGAAGTACGAAACAATAATGATATGATTCTACCTATGTTTTTGTGTGTTTTACATAACCAATTAACAACATCAAAACGCATCACATGAAGATTATTCAAAGATTAAATATCACTCGTCAATACGCAATGAAACTAGATTTATAAACATCGGTTTTACCTGCTACTGTGTATACCGCAGTAATGACAAGTAATGCAGTGATAGAAATATAGGTATTCCAACCCAAAGCCTGCTGTACAAACACAGAACCAGCGTATACGTCAACCTGTAAATGAACAATACAATGAGGATTAATAGAATCTTCCCGTACCCTGAGGGTGTGATAGAGAACTCTCCAACCGAGGGGTGATTTTTGTTGTTGTCTAACCCGAGGCTCTGCCGGGGGTTAGACTACAAAAAAATCACCCCGAGGGTTGGAGATTTCTCTGTCACATCCTCTGAGGGTAGGGGTTGATTATTTTTCTCCCACCCCATTATTTCCGCCACGACGTAAAAAAAAAATCCCACGGTACAAGTGTCTGAATGGCGCATGAATATCACCATTCACGTTTCCAAAATTCTACATTCTTCCGCGAGAGCAAAATGACAGACTACAAACGCAATATGAATACCCATTAGAAATATTTATTTTTTGGAAATTAAATATTTTGATTAGCGATAGATACATGGAAATACTTGTATTGAATAACATTTAACTCCGTATTATTTATTAAGGTAGGATAGGCTTGCCGCGATGTCATGGAAAAAAGGGGATTTCCCAGTTTATAATGACGTCAATTGTTTATGCGCGCGAAAAATTGCAATGGCGTGAGTGTCACGCGTGTGTTCATTCAGAATCATAGTCATAGATAATCCTCCGACGTTTATATGTGTTCATCGGTCAAGGATTGTTATAGTTAATGTTGACTGTGATGTTACAGTCGCGCATTACGGAACCTGCAGACAAAGCATCCACTCATCGGTTTGAGTCAGTTGTGATAGCCGACTGAGGTCACCGAGTGCAGTCATTTGGGATAGATTTATCCTCCATGGGTGTTCCACATGGGACATATCTATCCTACATGGGCAGAGATGGGAGAAATATATATATAAGGTATAAGATATAAACGAGTTTCCATTTTATTTGAGTTTCCTGAAAATTAATATGAAATTAAAGCAACTTTAAGATACATATTCATTGCATATTCAAGAAAAGTTAAAAATTGACAGGATGTAAAAATTGAATAAAATAGAAGTAAACAAGCAAGCAAACAACTACATATGTATTTAATTGCGATTTTCTCAATAAATGTTTCTATTTCTAGTCTTACAAAAGTCCATTTACAAAGAGATTAAATTCTTGTGAATCATATATATCTCAGATGTATATGTGCGACCCAATCAAGCACGTTATGATCGAATGACATCAAGGGAAAATATTACGATTTTGTTTACATTATGAACTTTATTTTAATCGATTTGTTCCTAAATGTTATCAGGTATCAATATGTGTAATACTCACCGATATCTTAGTACATATGTATAAGAACAAGGCTAAACAGCTCAGATATATTCTAAGTCGATTTCCACCGAAACGTTTCTGCAGAAATTCCGGGATTGTGAACAGCTGTATATGATAAAAGAGATAATCAACGTACTTATCTTTCTTTTAATATTGTTTAAGAGAATTTGTGTTTGAATCAAGATTCTGTTTCATTGCCTGTAGTCTGTATGTTTCAATTGATCTAAAATGGAACACCAAAATGTACAAAAGTATTATCGAATAATTATGTTACCGATTAGGAACTGTTTACTCACTCCTGAGGATAGGTAGATAGGAAGGAAGACCCATCCCAGCAACGGTAAACAAATAGCGGCCTGTTAACAAATATAGAAACAAGATAAATAATAATAACGTTATTTGTTTCCAAAATTCAATTACTAATATATCGAGATATCTTTATTAACATGATATAACGTCATGTATTTGACATAGCGTTAAAAAAGATTTGTTTATGGTTTACGTGATAGGTATGTTAGTTATGATAGTAATGATATGTGTCATAAATAGAAGTCGTACAAAATATGTTGATGCGTGTGTTTGTAGTTGAACAGATTATTCCTTAATGACAATTATACAGTGTAAATGAATACAGAGCATAGATGTCTTGTTATCGAAATAGAGGTATTCGGAAACTAATTTAAGCTTTTGTTTGGCACATTTTCCAACATCATCGCAAAATAACATACACTTTAGGCGTAGACTAAACTATTTGCTCTAAACGTTTGCATTAATGAATATTTATCAATGATGACTGAGGTCATACTTTAAAATGTTTTGATGGTGAGAAACCAAATCCGAATCGTATCGGGTCGAAGCATGATTTTTTTTTAATTTGAAGTTCATCGAAAGGCATGGAAATCGCAATATCGACCAGGTTAAAATTCGACTGTAGCGAAATATCTGGTATAAGTCTATTTAAATATAGCTGAAACTACTCGAATACCTTGACTGTGGGTTTAGCTACAACTGGTTATATTGGATTGTATTTTACCCTGTTCGTCAAACACATCAAACGATATAGCAATTATAACCAATTCGCCGGAGGATGATCTTTGAAAGGAAAAAAGAAATCAGAAATAGTATTTCTTTACTGGGTGTCAATATTGCAATCATAGAACAATATTTGCATTTCTAATAACAAGATCCAGAATATAAGGCACACATTTTAATATATCAAATTATTTCTTTTTAATTCTGAAAACAGGTTTCCAAATATAAAACTGATATAAAACATGTCACAAATTGTACAGTGATGCAATGATTGAAAACAAAAGTAGTACTTGATATAAAAAAATGTATTACTATCACCATGATATACTTACGCCCCATTCGAATGCAACGACACCAATACCAGAGGCAGCGCCACTTCCTGCTAAACCGATGAAATGCTCGCTTCCAATGTTACTAGAAAACAGCGAGGCACCAATCTAGAAAAAAATGTAGATTATCAATAAAGATAACTGATCATTTCTTAAGCAAATGATAAACCCTTCCTGCGTAAATGGGATAGTCTATCGTAATTTTATTTACGAGGAAAGTTGTTCGATTTATCAGGTGCGGTAAAGGTAATGAAAATGTCCATTTATACTCATTGACCAATGCTGGTATCAAATTATTAGGCATAAATTCACTGCAAATAATACAGAAAATATTTTACTTGAGTTACTTCTCGTATGAGACTAACGAGTCTTATTTAGGCACGGGAAAATGAAAAAAGTCATGACGATTTTCATCGACCTAATAGGGAACGCGATTGTATTTATCTCATATCTTACATCTTTTCTCATTCATTATCTCTTCCTTTGGTGACGTCAGCATGAATATGACACAATGAAATTATGACGTCACAATGGAAACAATGGTAAACTTACTACCCGTGTAATAAGAGACATAAATAATAACAAAATTGATTTAACGTAACCAAAAAAATCAGTATCGGAGCGACTGGAATTCCTTCATGGACAACCAATAAAAATTATGGAGCTTTTAACTTTGGATATGGTGACTCATTTCTTAGACTCAAGTATTGATTGACAAAAATCCAAGGGCCATACTTATGAAAACATGACAGTGTTACTAGAGGACGGAAACATTTAAGCAATAGTTGTAGAGGTGAGGTGTCACTATAACTATTTTCACGGCTTGAATTCACAATGAAAACAATGATTCTGATGACACTTAGTGTCCGATGACACTAACATAGAATTATATACGTGTAAACGTTACACCTCAAATATAGCAAATGCAATGCAAGCCATTTCCCCATCGATTTTCAAATAAATAAATAAATAGAATTTTCTGGAAAAAAAATTGACATCAAAGAGGGGATCTGCGATCGAAATTTATGCATGCTACAAACATACAACTTCATATTGAATTATAGTTTAATATATATGTGAATACAAGAATAAAAAAGCAGAAACAACTTAAGTGAAATGATGTCTAGAGGCCTCAGTGATTTCATGGCGGACAGAGTGTAAAAATGTGTTCCTCTATGTAAGTCTAACGCTAAAATGATTGATATGAGAAAGTGTTATAGAAAGCTTAAATTAGGGGAAAGGGTGGTTAGTTACCGTACCGGAAACCAGAGCATAGACCTCCCGGCTAAGAAATAGCCTTTCACTGTATTCTTTTCTTTCCTGCACATAGACTACAACAGAAAAGACAAAACAAGTAATGACGTCACTTGATTAAACCAGGAAGTTCGACCAGCGTCAGAGGGTACTGAAATTTATGCAACTACATGAAATGGATTGGCAAATTTTATTTGTGTTAAATCAGATAATAATTATGCTTGACCACGTACTACAGTGCGAATTATGCACAAATATTGACCGGACTTATTGTTGTTCCATATATAACAGTTTTGTGGTGTGTTAGTGTCCTTCGACAACATTATGATCAATCGCTACTTATATCGACCTGCCCAGAATCGAGTAGGATATGATGGAACTGGGTTAGGTGCCACTTCAGATTAAGCATGTCGCTCTCTCTTCAAACACTCTTAAACTCCTATCATAACAAAGTCATTCGAAGTAATCAAATAAAATTTGAACATTTTAAAATAATAACTTTATTAAAATAATCTCAATTCAAAATATGAAAATATGACAATGAAGCAATCCTTTTACTCAAACATGGGATCTTTGCTCGATCCATCTTTCTTGAATCAAAAGTTGAGAAAAAAAGCGAAATGTTCCAAAATTATATTTAGTCGTTGATAAATATTGACCCAAATGTCAGATTTATTCAAATCAGTATCAATTCTGACGACAACACGTGTTCTTCAGCCTAAATGCTGCACGAAAACAGGCCAAGGTGCTTGATATTGTAATTTTTGACTTCATGAACACTGTTTATTCAGTCCTAAGATGAAAACTGAAAACTAGAAAATTGATATTAATGTTGTTCCATTAAAGGTACAGAAAAACGAATATCAACCTCACTCATGTATACGGAATTAATCAAACCTTCAACAGAATATCGACTTGCTTGGTTTTAATGATCCATTTTGTTTGATAGAATCAGGAGGATCACGACTTAGCATATTTGATTTTATCAAAATTGAGTAAAATATCATTATCTTTACTTAGAAAAATATGTGCATACATTGTATATAAAAACATCATCTTACATAAGAGGAACACACAACAAACTGCAATAACATATATCATCATGTATAGCTAGAAGTTTTGGGTTTGGTTGAGTGCTTGATTTTTTTGTCGTCGGAAATCAATGCATTCAAAACCGTGCCAAAGTTACATAAGTCTCCTGGAATTGTCGGTAATGATGTTTGTGAATATGCTTACCCATAATCCAACGACCATAACAAGGACAAAATACACAACAAGAACTAGTATATCCACCCAGTGGTCAAGTCCGGCTCTCATGGTGAAAATTCAAGTTGTAGGCGATTGTATTTCAATAAATCACGAAGCAGTTGAAATACTAGATTTCACAACGACATAAGCCTATAGGTCATTGTAGACTTCATAAGTTAAATATCTGGGTGTTTCCATCCAATATCAACGACTAAGAAAAATATTCATGTCAACAGTCCTAGGTCCAGTTGTTATCTAATCTGACCCATTCACAAGAGGAAGATACTTCTCTGCTGTTTATGGAAGCGAATCAAAGCAAATACTTTAGATAACGTCCAGTGTTTCTCAGCAAATATAAATACTGACTGTGTATGTATTAAGTATTCCGTTTACATAACGTAAATGGTCGTTACTAGATTATCTCCCTTTCCTTGCAATAATATTATGATAATGTGTATACATATTCCTATCATTCTATTTCATAACGTTTTTATTAATTATGGATATTTAAAACTTTTGAAAAAAGATATATATATAATAACATAACGATGATATATATAGTAAGGAAATAAGGACATGCCCATCAAAACAAGACAAGTTCTTATTTATCCTGTAATGAGATTTATATCAACCAATTTAGATTTCTCTCTGTTGCCACCGACTCTTCTATCGTTTTTTGTTTTACTCTAAGCATCATCAAAGATGAAACAACTATATGATACAGTAGAATTCATTCGTTACATTGCATCTAGTTCTAAAAGTGGGTTTTACATCTGACATCAAAGTGCCCATAGAAAACCATCCACACCAGGATTTCATTCAAAACTTAAATTCTCGTCGTTTATATTTAAACAACAAAAAAGGACCATATGTAATAACATGCCTAAATGTCATGTTTTCGTACCACCATTACAGAGTTTTGTTTTTGGGTATTTTTTAATTTTTTTTTTGTTACCTTTCTGAAACAATATACCTCGTTTCTTTATCAAATTTGTATTGGTTAATTGTTTTTTAAAATGATTTAGGATTTTTTGATGTAATCACTAAAAATCCGACAACTTGACATGATATAGTTTTGTCCGCCTTTTTTGAGATACATCAGAATTAACATCAATGTGCGTGCTTTTACAAGATAAAAATGTACAAGAATTGAAACCTGGATATAGTTTTCCAACTGCATAAAGGCTAATGGAACAAACTATTTTGTTGTGTTTTTTCAGCATTTAAATAATATTGTTGATTTTGTAAATTGAATTATAGCAAATCAGAGATGTTGTCTATTTTAAACACTATGCAGCTAATGAATTTCCAAGATGGCAATAACTTTCTTCAAGAATAAGCGTGTTTTCCATAAATTAAGAAAATTAGCGTCATTTGTTGTATTACATTCTGGTATTCCACCTCATCTGACTGCTGCCCTAACTGGTATCATTTTTTCTCGGGGAGAAATTCATGTTGATTAAGAATAAAAAAATCACGTTGAAGAAAATTCGATATGCATCCAATGCATACTGGTTTTATATACTGTTTATACACACATATTACGTTAACCTATTGTACCTGCACTTAACACTGGTCTAGTTTTCAGTTGATGAGTTTACGTAATCCAACAGTTCTGATCTATGCTTAAATACAAAAACAGCATGCACCGCTGTTTTTTTTAATTGCGAAAGAGTGTATATGTCATGGCGTATTAAGTGAAATTTCACAACGCCATCTTTCAAGCTTATCTTCAAAGGCTTAAATGCACTTGTTGCGAATTACTGCGTTGTAAATAAATTATGAAACGAGTCTAAGAAATTTTTATTGAGCCTTCGGCATGCTAAAATAGAAATAAAAGAAAATGAAAAGTCGTGACGAGTTTCATAAATCACATATCAAAAGAAAACGAATTTTATCACATGATCGATTTTTGAATCAAATGTGGTGAAACAGACATTATTTCTACGTCAAATTTGAAATCATGCTCTATCTATATCTATGGACTCCACTGCTACCTCAAAATGCAATTTATGAATGTGTGATGTTATTTCATTATCTATACATTAGGCTACATCACATATGAAATGCAAGATATGCGCAAAGCTGATTTTATGTAGGGACACCTTGTAGTTCCTCTTTGCCCCCTCGGAGACTCTTTTATGTTTCATAGTTTTCTTAGGCTATATGTCCTTACTGTAAGCTGATTGGACGATAATTTTATACTAAATCTTCAGAAAATCATGTAAGCAGCGCCATATTTACTTCAGCAGTTCAAGCAAAAATCATTTTCACTAATATTTATGTATTCTTTTGGAATACACACAGGTCTACAAGTGTTTTGGAGACTAGACATTTGATCGCAATTGGCAGGGAAACGTCCAATAGAAATCTATGCAAATTATTCCAATTGTCCACTGTATGGCGTAGTTCTGACACAATTCATATCTTAGGTTGTTAACTTTTAATAAGCTCCTGACTTTATATGTTGATTTTTCCATTTTTTTAAATTTTGACAAAGTTGTATGGCGCATTTTATATTTATAACTGTCATCTTAAAATGGTTTCCTTCTGGTGTTTGATAATAAAATATGGACTTACTCAAATTAATTAACCTGTTGAGTTTTATGTGGAAGTTGCACTATATAAAACAATGGTATACTCATTGAATAACAAGCCAATCATGTGAAAAATTGTTAAGTGACTATGAATACTTACTTCGCGTGAGGCGGTAACAATGGGAAGAGGAGCTCTGACACATTACACAGCCCAGTAAAGTTAGTCTTCATAAGAGACTTCGCTTGATCCCCAGCTTCAGTAGTAGAGTTTTTTTGGGACTATACAAATATATCTGTTAGTTAGAGAAGATATTTTGGGAGAGTCAACATGTCAACAGAATTTGTCGAATGAGATTTTTTATGTCGCAAAACTTCAGATATATTTTTTCGTTATCTATTATTGATGTAACATATGCTTCACGTATATCATCGGATCTTACAAAACCAGGACGTTTTATATTAACAAGCATTACTAACAGAAATATTCTTGACGAGGTTTTTAAATCATTCATAAACCAAATATCAAACGGAAACGAATTTAAGATCCTTTTCATCAAATTATTTCTTTTCAGGCAAAGAACGGACATTTGCACGTCAGACTTGAGGTCATGTCCGCTTTATATCTTTGGGCCACCACCGTTACGTCATTATGGCCTCTGTGAATTTGCAACGTCGTTTCATTTTCAAAAGTAACGTCACAACAACCTATATTACACTTATGTACTACGACATGTATATGATTCTAAATGACACAGTAATCGTTTGATAAAATGATATAATACACTGTTACATGTGATAAATTGATATTATACACTGTAACATGTTATACAGCTGATCGTATTTACTTATGTTTTTGTCTGATTATACAATATACCTGTATACCACTAGGTATCATTAGGATCCGTGTAAGATAGCTTTCTATCATTATTCAGAATATTGTTGAAGGCCATGCCGACCATTGATGCCAAAGATTAAACTGATTGAGTTTAATGAAACGGAAGAGATAATTAATAATATAAGATATTGAATGTGCTCGAAAAAAGAAAACAATTTTTTAAAACCGTACGTCAAAAACTATTTCCGCGTTATTGACCAGTCCAGTCCTCCGTACGTGTTCTTAAGAAATTGCCCGCAACTTGAGAATCTTGTTTGGTTTTGTCCCATCCAGTTGGTGAAACTGAATGTTCAGTCCTTCCTTCTGAAGATCTGTATGTATGTATGTATGTATAGTTGGATGTATAGTTGGATGTATGTATGTATGACTTCAGGGAGGTATAATGAACATCACCAGAAACATTTTTTCTTCATTATTAAATTTGATAACGACATCTCCGTTTAATTTTATCTAGGTATGAATGGGAAAAGAAAAATATGGAGATTGATTTAAGACAGAAAAGCATTGTGTTTGACCTGTCAGGTAGACATCCCCATCAAACTGTTTACAGAGTCCCCTTACTATAGCATAACCAATGCCCTTGTTGGAGCCGGTCACTTAGAAGATAAATTGCAAGTGTAGGACAGGTATACTTTTATGTTTACTAAACTGTTCAAACACGTGTGTACGTTTGTACAGCACTATGTTTATATGATTGTTGAAAGAAACATTCACAATTCTCACAAAATATTCCTTACTTAAGTAAAATAATATCAGTCTGTTATAGAAAGTACATCGTCGGAAACCCACGAGACTATTATTGTTCTAAAACAACTTGCTTCATTCTTTGTAAGTACTAGTATGCCAAATGAATGAGATGTTATTGTGTTAAATGTAATGGCCGGCATTGATAAAAACAGGAAAACCCATCCCAAGACGACCTGAATCAAGGGAATTATCAATATTTTCTCATCTTGATATAAAACTATCCGGTCAAGCAAACAATTTGTTTCATGGATATAATCTGCACGAAAGCGCCGCTAGTGTAGGGGTATCATGCAAGATTCCCATTCTTGCGATCCGGGTTCGATTCCCCGGGCGGAACACTAAACTATTGTTATCTTTTATGATCATTAACGATACCAGAATGATACGCAACAATGATAAAATAAAGTAATAAAAACCACGAGCATTATGCCACCATCGTATGACAGCTGCATCCATCCATATTGCTAAACTGATTCAATGAAAAGCCGGTGAAAAGTGGCTACAGTGGATCGGCCACAAGGTAAGATATTGAGAACAAGAGGAAAAACAGAATTAAATGAAAAAACCCACTTTCTTTATTCATGTCGATTGTCATGATTAAGGAAGGTGATCCACATGTGTTAGCATCTTCTACTCCAAGGCCAGTGGAAATAATTCCATGTTTTCAAAGTATGAGGATATTGAGAGGTGGACGGCCGATGATAAAGACAAGTAAACGAAAGCATAAAAAGATTTCAATGAGACCATATTTAGCATTAGACTGAAGAAGGTAAACGTACGAAATGCGCAAAACCAGCAGGTAATTATTTTCGTCTTCCAAAAATTATGGAGAGAAGAAAACGTAGTGGTTTTATAAAGCACAACAAATATTTATCATAAAAAAAGTAATT